TGTTGTGTTTAATGCAGGGTATACTCACACTTTATGTTAGACATCTTTATGTCCGGCAGTTTCATTTAGATTTTCCCGAAATTCAAATTCAACCTTCATTATGGTGAAATGGTGATATATTCAAACAGTTTTTAAAATCGGAAAAAAAATCTGCAAGCTAAAAATGTGATTTTTCAAACAATCAGGAGCCATAATCCAGGAAGTTATGTTCGGATCGGTGGTGGCGCCTGCCGTCGGTGATTGGAGGGGCAAAGCTGGGGCAAAGTCCAAGGTTAAGTGGGTAAAGGTACGAGCTTCAACTAGGGGTAGGGGGCCTCCCCAGAAAATTTTGAAAAACAGGTTGCCGGAAATGCAGCCTGACAGTATTTCAGGCACTGATCGATGAGGTAAAGGGTCAAACGAACGGACTTGCGAATAAAGACGAAGCCCACTCACGAGCGTCAAAGTAGGGAGTCCTCCCCCAGAAAATTTTGAAAAATAGACTGCCGGGAATGCTGTCTTACAGTATTCTGTCAGGCACCGATCATCGAGATAAATAGATCTGCCCAGATACCGTTCATCGCCTGATCACTAGTTTATATCCGATTAGAGAACAAAATGTCAAACGAACGGACTTGCTGACCTAAACGAATTCCCCTTGTGAGCGCCAAAGTAGCGAGTCCATTGGGGACCTCGCCAAGACAATTTTAAAAATAGACTGTCGGAAATGCTCTACAACATGCAAGTTTATGACTGAGTGGGGATGTGGGATTCATTCACCGTAGAAGGTATTGATTACCGAAACGTATCACAAATACTTTTTTTTATTTTCTAAAATTATTGAGGGGGCAAACAGAGGGCAGACCAGATTAATGGGGGCTCATTTGCCCCCCCCCCCGGCGCCGCCACTGGTTCGGATATACGCGATTATCAAAAGGAACCAAGATCTTAGTGTGTAATGGTTATATATTCACAAGTTTTTTTTTAAGTTAGATAAAAAATGTGACGTCTACATGGACCGCAAGCTAAAACGTGATTTTTTCTACAATCAATGGCCATAATTCAGGAAGATATAATCCGATACGCGCTAATAGCGAAAGGAACCAAGATCTTTGGGTTATAAACATGTATTTCAACTTCAGAAGAAAATTGTGACCTCTAAAGGGTTCACAACCTTGATATACCAGATGTTATACACTATTTGCGTACGAGAGGCGGCCATTTTGTCCGGCAGTTTTGGCCCGATTTTCACGAAATTTGAACTGAATTAACATTATGGTGTGTGTAACAGTGATATATACTATTCAAAAAAAGTAGGGGATATTTGATTTTGCGGGGCATAATACTAAAATATGCAAATGACTACGAAAAAAGTCACTATAGAACCTAACAGAAGAAACATTTCCAGTTACATGTGACGCCCAAACGCACCAATAGCTACCGCATGGAATGCATGTGATGCTTGGGATCATCATGGGGGTCCAACCCAAGATTTGCACGACTCTGACTTTGAATGTTACAGTCATTGTGGCATTGAATTCCAGGGTGGAAACATCAGTTTAATTGTTTTAGTGACCAGAAAACAAATTTTGATATGCGTCGGCTTACCCAAAATGAAAGGTTACGTGCCCTTGGCATGCTACAGATCGGCACAACACAGGCGGTTGTGGCGCAGACGATGAATGTTTCTCAGTCTGTCATAAGCAGGCTATGGTCCAGATACCGTGATACACAATCTGTACAGGACAGACCACGCTCAGGTCGACCAAGGGCGACAACTCAAGCCCAGGAACGATTTATCTGTACCTTGGCCTTGAGAAATCGTGTCATCACAGCAAATCAGATCAGCGCTCATCTTCAAACAGACACTGGTGTGAGAGTGAGTGGCCAGACGATTCGGAATCGACTGCATAGGGGTCACCTTCGCGCCCGACGTCCTCGCGTGATCCCTTGTTTGAGAGATCATCACATTCAGGCAAGACGTCGTTGGTGTAGGGATCGTCAACACTGGGATAATCGACGCTGGAGCAATGTGATGTTTTCAGATGAGTCAAGGTTCACTGTTGATTTTTTGGACAGACGTAGGAGGGTGTGGCGTCGTCGAAACGAGCGCTTCCAAGACATTAACGTCATCAGACATGATCGATTTGGCAGTCCATGTTGTGCCGTTCGCACGACGTCATGGCCGCCGTTTCATCTTCCAGGATGACAACGCAAGATGTCACAGGGCCAGGATCGTTACAGGTTACCTCCAACAACAGAACATCACCACATTACCTTGGCCAGCACTAAGTCCCGACCTCTATCCCATCGAGCATGTCTGGGACATGCTTGGACATAGGTTACGTCAACGTCCTGCCAATGTCCAAGAACTTGCTGCTGCGTTGCAACAGGAATGGGACAATCTGGACCAAAATGACCTTAGACGTCTCATTAGGAGTATGCAACGTCGGATCAATGCTTGTTTGGCAAACAGAGGAGGATTTACCCGTTACTGACTTGGTTGTGATGCTGTGGTAACTTTGCTGTTTGACCCCGGGTATCATTTTACCCTTATAATGGTCAGTCTGTGCCTTACTTAGTCTAACGATCATTTGGAATAAATCGATGAATGTGAACTTCATTTCATTTTGTCATTTGTTTCTTCGTCAGTTTCATTAGGTGACTTTAATAACACTTAAAAATCAAATATCCCCTACTTTTTTTGAATAGTATATTTGAACGTTTTTTTAAATCAGATAATAATTGTGACCTCTAGAGGGTCAACAAGATTGATATACCATATTTTTACGCTATTTGAGTATGAGGGGCTGCCATTTTGTCTGTCAGTTTTGGGCTAATTTTCACGAAATTCGAACTCAACCATCCTTAGGGTGTAACGGTGATATATTGCAACTTTTTTTAAATCGGATAAAAATTATGACCTTTATAGGGTCCACAAGCTAAAAACATGATTTTTCATACAATCAGGGGCCATAATTCAGGGAGTTACGGTCCGATATGCGCGAATATCGAAAGGAACCGAGATCTTAGGGAGATAAAACTATATTTCAAGTTTTGTTGAAATTGGATAAAAATCATGACCTGTAGAGTGTCAAGTTTAAACAAAATTGGATGAAAATTCTGACCTCTATAGGGTCCATAAGCTAAAAACATGATTTTTCGTACAATCAGGGGCCATAATCCATGAAGGTACGGTCCAATACATGCCAATATCGAAAGAAACCAAGATCTTAGGGAGATAAAACTATATTTCAAGTTTTGTTGAAATTGGATAAAAATTGTGACCTGAAGAGTGTCCACAAACAAATTGTGGACAGACGGACAAACAGGGGCGACGGAATAATACGTCCACATGAAAATTTGGGCGTATAAAAAGTTGATCCTGTTTTCATATTTTAATCATGACTTCAACAAAACCTCAAAGGCACTATTTGTACAAAAACAGTAGCCATAATTATGTATGGAGATGCACAATTTCAGATCATGGTTGATGATGTCATTATATAATAAAGGCTATAATTTAAACAAATGTGTGTTTTTCGTTAATTTTTAAGAATTTTAATTCTTAACTTCAATGAAAAAAAGACATGAAGATATAAGATCACATTAATATGAAACCTGATCCACTGTTGAGAAATAGGCAATATCGCACGTTAATAATGCTTGACCAATGGTTAATTTGTTGTGCATATTTAAAAAGAACTTGTGCCATATATATGATGGATAATGATAAAAACTGTATTTATGAGTTTTGAAGAATTATTTTTAATATTTCCAGTTTTATAAGATTTGTGTATTTACCGGTACCTGGATAGTTTTGGAAATGATGTTAAAGGCTGGGACTAATAACATGGCTTTCTTTTTTCTCTTGAAAATCTGAGAAGTTTTCTACAGGCAACCGCTGTTATATGAATCACATATTTAAAGGTGGCAAAATATTAGATTTATTGCATTTTTTATTATATGGGTAAGCTTATTGTGTATTAGCATCTTTTTACAAAATACATTAACATTCCTGATTCTCTATCAAAAAAATATGTTCTATATGTTCTATATTGTCAACTAAATGCACTTATACAAAATAAAGAAAATAAAGATAGATTGCCAGACAACAAAACATTTGACCACAGCAGTTGTCAAAGCAGTCATTAAGGGTTGCTGCATATATATCTTTTATTCTATAGGTAATGTAAGCATATAAAAGGCACTAAAAACAGATCAAAAGTAACAACAGAAAATTATCAGAAAGCCACTGTGACACCCATTTCTATAAACTGAGTTTATAAACAGATTTATGCAATGTATTAACATTGAAAAATCTTGTAAACATCATGACAGACACTCAAATAACATAATGATGGGAAAATATTACAGTTATTTGTCTATTGTCTCCCTTTTTGGGAGTTTGTTTTCATTTTGAGTGAAGCATGTAATCACTACCTGCCTGGGTTTCTGTTTGTTTGTGTGTGGCGCAGTTTTCCTGCACTTACTATAACGGTAAATCTAAACAGAAAACTTATTTTCTCAAGGAACCATGCCCATGTCACTATTGTATGTTGTTTATGACTTGACACATTTACCTGAAAATAAACTTGTACTTATTCTGCCACTTCATCTTTTTGTAAATTATAACAGACATAGGTTTAATGGAAGTGCAATGTGAAACCACCAGAAGATAATCAACTATTTCGATTACCAGTAGTCAGAAAACAAACCATGAAATGACAACAACCACATATTAAAGTGGCAGCTTACCACAGCTTATGCATACTGTCATTGAAAATTTGATCAACTCTCCACCTCCGGTTATGCTTATAAAGTTACAGCAGTTCTAAAAGGTTCATTTGTACTGTTCTGATGGACATTACTAACAATGCCAATAGTACAATCGGATGGAATAGTAATTGTTGGGTTTTATTTGAATACCATTTATTATGTGTAGGTAAAGAAATGGCAGAAAAATAATACTGTATCAATGTTATGCTTTACTTCTTCATGCTGTAAAACATTTAACTCACTGTTTCATTTTGAATGAGTGTTCAAAGAATCTTCCAGCATGTTCTCACTGATGTGCCATAACTTGTCTCCAAGAACAGGATCTGTTGCAACTTCTGATGGATAACAATGAAAACAGTTGTTAAAGTACATTCCTCCTATCCCTTGTAGTTCTGTGGATACTGCACAAAGTACAGTAGTAGCTGCTCCCTGTTGCTGTAATTGAAATATAAAAAAGATAGGTGACCAGGGAGGAAATATACACCCATAGTAGCTTAGTCATCCGAGCAGTCCACAAAGGTTGCCGCATATTTATTCCTTTGAACTTTGAAGGTAATACTTATCAAGAATAATAACCTGTGAATTAATTATCAGAACTCATTAAAATTTGGTTGACTTCTAGTTCAAACTAATGATCAAGGCGATAAAAGTGATCAAGGGCAATAGCTTTAAGAGTAATTCGAAGCTTCTTTGTCACACCAACATGAACACTTTATATAAACATATACCTACAGTAAATTAAGGATTTAATAAAAATCATATTATAATTTTATATTGCACTCATGTGGTGACTGTTACTAGCAAATAACTTTTTTTATCATGATGAATTCTTACCATTGACTTTGTAAATGGTCGAACAATCATAAAGAGTAAACGATATATCCACCAATTACGCTGTAAACCCGTACTCATTATATTACCAGGATGTAATGATAAAGATGTTACATAACGACTTCTAAGACGTCTGTTCAGTTCATTAGAAAATACTACATTACATAGTTTAGACATATTGTATGCTTTCATATCGTTATATTTGTTAGCTCCTGGTGACAACTTTGATGCACTGATGTTTGACTTATTCAAATCTGTAAATCTGAAATAAAACAAGATTTTAACCACTCTATAAATAACCATTTCCCTATAAATTACATTTTTATAAAGTTAATATTTAATTTTAAAAAGACAACACTGTTGTCATAGCAGGAAGTCTGTATGACCATTAATAAATGACTCTTGTTTTGCGATATATCCATTAAAAAGATAGGTTGCCCGGTAACAAAACATAAGCTACTCCGAGCAGTCAATAATGTCTGTCTCCTTTTTATTCTCTTGTAGATAATAGGAGCATTTACAGACACTAAAAAATGATTAATCAATGAGGTAATGTTACCAGAAATAATCAAAATTAGGTAGGCTTCTAGTTCTACAATTAATTGCAGAACAGTAGGACGTTAACCCCCTTTTCATTTCATTTCATTTCTTCTAATAATCAGATGTCTCATGATCCTGTAGTGTGTATAAATTTCAAGTCAATCGGATCAAAGCTTTAGCCACTAGAGAGTCCCACTAGCAATTGTTGATAACGGACAAACAACTGATGGATGGACAGGACCAATCCCATAAATCGTTAATTGCAAAGGAAGTTGGCAAAGGGAAGTAACTCACATCGGGTAAAGTAAGCAAAACGCAAAGGCTCCACTTCAAGAGACAAGGTTAGGAAGTAGCCAGAAGGTAGCCTAAATGAGAGAAGTCCAAATTATACTAAATGCAAATTTATTAACAACAAATTACAATTATTATCTTCAAAAAAAGAAATGCATAGTGACATTTCGTCGTCAGTATACCCTCGCTCTACCATCGCCTCGTTGCAATAGGTACCGCGACTCGTCGCTGAACTAAACTGTTCTCCAGTGTTACTGTAACTATACCCTGTGTGTCTGAACCCATTGAATTCGAATTTCACAATGTTGGCGTATTTCAAACAACATTACGTCTGGCTCGTAATCCGGTTTCATGTAAGTGTATACAGAGTGTCTGGTCTGAGATCCTATGTCGTCCAGGATTGCTGCGGCAGTAGAGGTCGCTGTTAAGAACCATTTCCGTAAATGAAGTAACCGGATGTGACGATCCAGGGCAGGCTAGGTCACTCTTGTGTTGAACTTCGCTGTCGGTACCTATCCCAAAGGTGAGAGATGGTACTCTGAGAAACATTCACCAGCCTGGCTACATCTGTCTGGGATTCACCTGCTTGTAAGCGACCAATAGCATTGTTGTGTTGGTCTTCGTTGAGTGTTTACATGAGCAACTGATTTTGAAACTGAGAGTCCCAGGATTTTAAAGGCCTTAGATTTGGGGTTCATGCGAAAAGCTTGCCAAGTTGTTAAACTCATGTGTCTTGGTGCAATCAAGCGAAAATAAATTTCGGCAAAAAGTATGACCAGTCACAATTAGTGTCCCTAGATTTAAAACTAATCATGAATTTCTTTTATTCTTACATATTGACATTATAAACACGTAAAATTTATGGAAACAACGATCCCGTTCAAATAAAACAAGAGCATCGCTAACGCTGCAATATATGACGGGGGATTTGAGTCAAAAGTCAGTGCTATGTTGTTAGTGCTTTTACATCTACAATGTTGCAAATGTTGAATGTAATTTGTAAATTGGAGGACATTAAATTTAACAAAATATTGTAATACTGACAAATACATCGTGTAAATTGACATCTACGTTTTGTCATTAAACATTTCACATTAGACATTTCACAATTTCCACAACACGCTTAACTCCATCTACCCAGATCTTTAAATACTGGAACTCTCATATCTTCTCAGATGACACGTGCACTGTGTATTGTGCCGTTCAACATTTCACTTTTACATCGTAACACAGAACTCACGACATGAAATTAGCCAGTATGCAAATAAGTTCAGACGGTACCTATTTTTAATCACGTGACATCTCGCGTGGAGAAAACATAATTTTCAAGCAGGGAATTTCCCCCGGCATGAGACCCGCAACCGGGTGTTGATTTCATGATTTTTTTCTACATAAAGAAAGAAAAGTAAAATATCTCGGCTTTTTTTGATTTTTTTCTACATAAAGAAAGAAAAGTAAAATATCTCGGCTTCCACATATAACACAAGAGATTGTTCATAGAATTCATAGACTTTCCTACGAAGACATGGACATAGAAAGTTGCCACAACAACCATCCTGCCCTTCATGAGAAGTATACATAATACAAAATATAATAGCTTAACAAATAAAAGGAGAAGAATGAACAATGGCTCATGGATGGGTATTATATAATTTATAAACAGGATAGCATTAGAATGCAAAAGATGACAGCACCAAAAAGAGACAGTCATACAGCTTAGATCTCGTGTGGTTAAAAATAGGTACCGTGTGAACTAATTTGCACACTGGCTAATTTCATTACTTGTTCTGTGTTACGATACACAAGACATATGTCGAAGGGTACAATACATAGGGCGAGTGTCAAATGAGAAGATGTTAGAGTTCAGTGTTTAAAGTTCTGGGTTGATGGACTTCGGCTTGTTGTGAAATGTTTAATGACAAAATGTAGATGTCATTTTACACGATGTATTTGTCAGTATTACAGGATTTTTTATTTTTACTTTTGACTTAGTCCAATTTACACATTACATTCAACATTTGCAACATTGGACATGTAATAGCACTAACAACATAGCACTGACTTTTGACTCAAATCCCCCGTCATAGCAATATACATCCACATTCCTGCTTTGATTGATATGGTACTTTTTAAAATGAAGAGAATGAAATATGAAATGGCTGTAATATGACAAGAGGCAAAGAAGGCTGGGCGTGGGATTTGTTTTGCCAAATTTACAGGCAAAATATTAACAAAAAAGATGAGTGTGACACTGCCCCAGGGGGTCGGGGCATACACCAAAATAAATAGTTGATGTCTTTACGGCAGGGCTTCCACTTCAAAATTTTCACTGCTGGTCATTTTTGATAATGCACGAAAACTATTCAAAGTAAATTCATATTTCATGTTTTTTATTCATGGTAGGATATTGTGAATTGTGAATTCATGTGTGTATACCTCTTTGTCAGCATGGGGTACACAAAAAAAATATATACTGGACTTAAAAATGATATATTAGAAAGGCTTGATAATTATTTATTAATTAAATATTCCCTTTTGGCTACTTAAATAATCGAAATAGCTGAATTGGTCGTAGAAAAACCATTCCAGTAGCCGACACTTAATAACAACATGCTCTATAGAAAACACACTGACCTGGATAATTTTGAGTTGTAATAAAATACTTTCGAAATGAAGATAAATATATAATTATCCACGGCATATATCTCACATTTATTTGTTTTAGACCACGTCTTAAGGCATTACGGGCCGCAGAATTGTGATGTAAATCCTTATACGGTAATGAATAACTAAATAACTAACGGATAAGGAATAAATATGCAAATTTCCAAGATGATCCATTCAGAATTGCAACCTGTAGACGATAAATACAACCAGCGGCTGCCAGGCAGTATACGCCCACATTTTCAAGAGATGGATAGAAAACAAGCTAAACGAAAGTGATTTTTCCTACAATCAAGGGCCATAATTCAGGAAATTATAATTCGATATGCGCAAATATCGAAAGGAACCAAGATCTTTGAGTTATAAACTTACATTTCAAGTTTCAACAAAATCGGATAAAAATTGTGACCTCTATAGGGTCCACAACCTTGATATACCATATTTTTACGCTATTTGAGAACGAGGGGCGGCCATTTTGTCTGTCAATTTTGGGGCGATTTTCACAATATTCATACTCAACTGTCCTTAGGGTGGAATGGTAATATAATAATACGTTTTTTTAAATCAGATAAAAATTATGACCTCTAATGGGTCTACAAGCTAAAAACATGATTTTTCGTACAATCAGGGGCCATAATTCAAGAAGTTACGCTCCGATATGGGCAAATATAGAAAGGAACCAAGATCTTTGGGTTATAAACTTATATTTCAAGTTTCAACAAAATCGGATAAAAATTGTGACCTCTATAGGGTCCACAACCTTGATATACCATATTTTTACGCTATTTGAGAAATAACGGCGGCCATTTTGTCTGTCAATTTTGGGGCGATTTTCACAATATTCATACTCAACTGTCCTTAGGGTGGAATGGTAATATAATAATACGTTTTTTTAAATCAGATAAAAATTATGACCTCTAATGGGTCCACAAGCTAAAAACATGATTTTTCGTACAATCAGGGGCCATAATTCAAGAAGTTACTCTCCGATATGGGCAAATATAGAAAGGAACCGAGATCTTTGGGTTATAAACTTACATTTCAAGTTTCAACAAAATCGGATAAAAATTGTCACCCCTATAGGGTCCACAACCTTGATATATCATATTCTTACGCTATTTGGGAACGAACGGCGGCCATTTTGTCTGTCAATTTTGGGCCGATTTTCACAAAATTCGAACTCAGTCATCCTTAGGGTGTAGCGGTGATATAATAGAATGTTTTTTTAAATCGGATAAAAATTATGACTTCAATAGGGTCCACAAGCTAAAAACCTGATTTTTCGTACAACCAGGGGCCATAATTCAGGAAGTTACTGTCCAATATGCGCAAATATCGAAAGGAACTGAGATCTTTGGGTTATAAACTTACATTTCAAGTTTCAACAAAATTGGATAAAAATTGTGACCTCTATAGGGTCCACAAGCTAAAAACGTGATTTTTCGTACAAACAGGGGCCATAATCCATGAAGTTTCGATCCTATACATGCCAATATCAAAAGCAGCCGAGATCTTTTGGGGATAAACCTATATTTCAAGTTTCGTCGAAACTTGATCCATTTAGAATTGCAGCCTGTAAACGATAAACACAAAAATTAGGCGTGGCTCTGCTCCTGGGGGTCGGGATACGCAGTTGTCGTCCTTAGGGTATAGGGAATACATACGTTAAGAAATGCGGCCTGTAGACGACAGACAAACAAATACAAGAAATTCGGTGTGGCTCTGACCCGGGGGTCGATCATGCACCAAAAACAATAGGGATCATCCTTAGGGTATAAGGAATAAGTATGTAAAGTTTCAAGATGATCACTTAAGAATTGGCGCCTGTAGTCGACACACACACACACACACACACACACCCATGGCAATATACATCCATAATGTGCACCTATAAAAATGATGATAAATGGGTGATGGGTTTCTTTGTTTGAAGAGTATATAATATATTAATGAAGACCAGGTGTTTATATATACTAAGCAGCAAAAGAAACGTCAGGTTGGTATGTTACTCTGAATAGACACATTGCATAAAACTTTGTCAAATGTTTTTATTGTATATTTGTGACCACATCTCCAACTTTACCTGAGCAATAAGGCTCCTTCCCAAACACAGAACTGAACCCAAGAAATGTTCTCAAAAATGCAACCAGACTTCCGAGATGGTAATGTGTTCTCCATGATTTTCATGTAACTCATGCTGCACGTGCTGTTCACCGGGACCAGTCCTATAAAATGCACCCCCATGTCTAGTTGAATCATTTACACTACAACGTCAGCAGCATGCCATGACTCACGACAGCTCAGAGGAACCATGCGCTTGGAATACTCGATGCTGTCCATACTGCCCAAGCTGTTGCCAATCACTTCCAGGTCAATCTACAGGCTTCAGCAACGATTTCGGACCACCAACATCACGAATAATCGCCCCCTAACTGGTAGACCAAGAATTACCACAAGGCGACAAGACCGCCATGTTGTGCGACAAGACCGCCATGTTGTGCGACAGCACGTGCAGAATTCCTTCACACAGGCATCTGAGACAGCATGTCAGATAGTGGGAACACACGGAAGACCCATCAGTACCGATACAGTGCGCCGACATTTCACCAGAGAGAACATCCATTGCTGTAGACCTTACCATGGACCCATCCTCACCCCTCGCCATCGACATGAACATCTACAGTTTGCCCAACAACACGTGAACTGGTGACACAGGCAATGGAGAACTGTTCTGTTCACAGATGAGAGTCGGTATTGCGTATCAACTGCAGATGGCAGGACCAGAATATGGCGTTGGCGTGGCCAGCATTATTCTGACCAATTTGTCATGCAAAGAGACTCATGGAAAGGTCCAAGCCTAATGGTCTGGGGTGGAATCGGCCTGAACCAGAGAGTGGATCCTGTGGTGTTCCAAAATCTTGGTCCAGGAAGAGGCGGCAGCATCACAGCAGTGTGCTACATCGATCGAGCTCTCAGACCCCACGTCATACCACATTTCACATGTCATCGAAACAACGTTTTCCAGCATGACAACGCCCGTGCCCACACCGCCAGAGGTACTTGGAATTTTCTACATCAGAATGGTGTCAACGTTATGCACTGGCCAGCCCTTAGTCGGGACTTAAACCCGATTGAACATTTTTGTGATGAAATTCAGAGGAGACTTAAAGGAGCTAAATCACTAACATTTGGGACCTAGAATTGACAAAAGTGGGTCGCAACGCATATAATACTGTAATATGAATGTATATAAACTGATTTACATTCAATAGTTTCCGTTTTTACTCCAATTTCAAATCAGTTATGTTCGGCGAAATAAGCCAGCAAATTTCTAATCTGGTTATTCCAGTCTACATACGCCGTTTGATTTGGTGCAATGTGTCTAGCCTGGTCCCTCGAGTCTCTTGATACAACTGGGGCTGAAGCGCATTATGGTACACGATTCGTGTACCAATGGTAAAATGTTTATTTTGTCTTAAATATTGGATATCAAAAGCCCATCTTTTTCAGGTAAGATCACAACATGAATGTTGATTTAATTTGACAAATAAATCGTGTTTTCAATGTTGAAGATTTTGGATGATATTGAGTTAGAGACTTAGCTACTTTAATAATACAATTAAATATACATGTATATGAATTAGAAATATATACATTATTTACATAATGTAAATGGACATGAATATGGTTATTTACCCATATAAAAACCAAGGCGAAACGACTGGTTTATAAACTGATTTTTGATTGGTTTATAGACTTTAGCTACAATCAAGGCCAGGGCAGATCATTTGAAATTGTGGAAACCCTATGGATTAACACAGGGTATAGTGGAGTAGAACGGAATGAGACCACTGGGGATACTGAGGATGATAATTTCTTTGCTATAAATTGTTGGAGGAACTGATATACATACCTATGAGATTCACTAGAAACAACTACAACTCTAGCTGGAGCTGATTTTACTAACAAATCCGTTAATAGTTTTGTAAGATAAAATTGAGCCAGATGATTTACTTGAAAAGTTGTTTCTAAACTGTCCTCTGTTTCAACATATGGCAGACCAAATACACCAGCATTTAATATTAATACGTGCAGTGGCCTGAAAACGTAATCATACATGTATGTAGGCCTATACAATAAGGTGAACAAGAAATAACTTCCCAAAATGCATTGGAAATTTTGAAAATTAATACTTTAATTAAGGAACAATACTATATTTATATTAGGCTGGGATCATATATGGCTTTCACATGCTTTAACTGACCCCAATGCTTTACACCAAATTTAATTTAACCAGCGGTTGCCAGACAAGATACACCTACATTTTGCAACAGATGGATAGAGAAAAAAGCAATTTTTTGTACAATCAGGGGCCATTATCCAGGAAGTTATGGTCTGAAATATGTGATCTTCACGAAATTGACCATAAATATGGTTTAACGGTGATATATTAAACGTTTTTTAAAATCGGACAAAAGCTAAAAACATGATTTTTCGTACAATATGGGGCCATAATCCAAGAAGTTACGGTCTGATGTACACAAATATCGACAGGAACCAAGATCTTTGGATTATAATTATAAATTTCAAGTTTCATCAAAATCTGATAGAAATTGTGACTTCTACAGTGTCCACAACCTTGGTATTACATACTTTTACACTATTTGCAAACTAAGAGCATTCATTTTGTCCGGCAGTTTGGGTCAGATTGTTATGAAATTGGAACTCGACCTTCATCGATATGTAACAGTGATATATTTAAACATTTTTTTTTAAAATTGAATACAAATTGTGACCTCTAGGGGGACCACAAGCTAAAAATGTGATTTTTCGAACAATCAAGGGCCATAATTCAGGAAGGTAAGATATGATATGCGCGAATATCGAAAGGAATCAAGATCTTTGGGTTATGAACATGTATTTCAAGTTTCATCACAATCGAATCAAAATTATGACCTCTAGAGGGTCCACAACCTTGATATACCATACATGTATATTTGCACTATTTGAGTACGAGGGGTCACCATTTTGTCAGGCAGTTTTGGTCCGATTTTCATGATATTCGAACTCACCCAACAAATACCACTCAACAGTGATATATTCTAATGTTTTTTTTAAATCAGATAATAATTGTGACCTCTAGAGGGACAACAAGCTAAAATGTGATTTTTTGTAGAATCAGGGGCCATAATTCGGGAAGTTATGAACCGATACATGCAAATATCGAAAAGAACCAAGATCTTTGGGTTATAAACATGCATTTAAAGTTTCATCAGAATCGGATGAAAATTGTGACCTCTAGAGTGTCCAGAAGCTAAAAACATGATTTTTCGAACAATCAGGGGTTATAATACATGAAGTTATGGTCCGATACATGCCAATATCGAAAGGAACCAAGATTTTTGGGAGGTAGACCTATATTTCAAGTTTCGACAAAATCGGATAAAAATTGTGACCTGTAGAGTGTCCACAAATAAATTGTGGGTGCATAAAAGCTCCAACTATCTCGTTAACAAGCCAAATTGTTGAAGGACCGACTGACGGACATAGGCAATGACATATATACTACAACACTGAAATGTGGGCATATAAATAGGATCAAAAAGATAACTTCACAAGAGCATTTCGAAAATTTAGAAAATCAACCTGAACATTAAAGGGGAGATAACTCTGTGACTTGATTGGGTTTTCTGTGAATCTACATTACAAATGTGGGAGTGTAAAAAATAACAGTGGATGAATAGAAAACTGACCAGTCTTTTTTCATGTAATCTTCAGCAAACTGTTTAACTGTACTGAGTTTTGCAAGATCGCAATACATTACTTCAACATTAGCTTTTGGGTTGCCTTTCTTTATTTCTTCCACACAAACATTACCCTTTTCTGAATCTCTACAAGCCATGACAACATTAGCACCATGTAGGCTTAAAGAACGAACTGTTTCAAAACCTGTAAAATATTTTCAAAATGAAGCTACATTGTCATAATTGACCATAAATTGTTAAAGTTATTCATAACATTAGTGAAAAAAAAGATTCAGTTTGTGTTAAAGCGTCTTAGTGCATGTAATCTTTATAGAGAGAGAGAAATTGGGTTTAACGTTCACTCGACACAAACTAGGTCATTTTTGGACTATCATATGGTTCAATTTTATTTCAATAATTCGCTTGCACGTAGGGGTCTTTAGCAGTGGGAGGAAACCGGAGGACCCGGAGAAAACCCACGAGGTTGGACAGGCGACCCTACTCCTTGTCACGTACAACGGGGGAATCGAAACCACACCAGTTAACTCAATGACAGACCTTATGATACAGTGCATGGCTAACCATTCGGCCATCCAACCCCCCTGTTATCTTTATAATGGTTGCGTTCAACTGTTTATAGCTCTGTGATACTTTATTTGAAGAACAACAAACTTTTTTCCATGTGGGGTTAGTGACTGTTTGCCATAAGTCTGAAATTTCCACATTTCATAAGTGCCTGGATAACCATGCTTATATCTGTTGAAGTTATATTGTGCATGGTCGTCATGATTATCAAATAGACACCCTAAGATAACAGGGCATCTATCAATTCTCGAAAAGAATAATGGTTACTGAATGAACTCACTAGCCCATAAAATTCTGATTCCATTATGTCTGGTTAAAATTCTAACAGTTCACGTACATATATAGTGATGTTTGTAATGAATATCGGTTGAAACAAAATAGTGTCAATTGTGTATTATGGTAACTGATAGTCTATTTTTTTGTGTGAACTGTTCAGGCTATGATCTTTGGGAAATTATTTCTCAATTCACCAATTAACAATACTTTGGATGGTAAACTCTCTATGATCTTTGACACTCTGGATTACATGGGTGCAATTGAAGTGGAGACAATCAGGACTGCAGCGATTAAGATTAATGTACAGTACATATACAGCTATGGTGCAATTGTATTATTACTAACCTATACCACTGCTGGCTCCTGTTACTATCATGTATTTGCTACTTAAATCTCTTCCTAGTAATACAGACAGAGCTGTAGAACTACCATCAAATTTCTGACGAAAATCAAGAGGGGAATCTTTCTTTTCTTGAGCAAAGGCTAATCTGGGATCAGTGTATGTTGTTTTTTCATTCACATGACTTTAATATATCAAAAAAGAAAAGGAACACATGGTTTATACATCTTTAAAAACTTCAGCTAAACTGCCGGGTAATAATAATAGTAAATTGTAAAAATAACAACTACTTTCTTTATTTCAAAATACTGACTTCAATTTACCCATTCTTTTCTTATATAAGCTTAAACAACCTAACAAATATTATATCTCCATTTGCTTTCATTTTGATGGATAAAATAAGATCTAACATACATTCAAAACTGCTGTCGTTTCAATGTATGTGTTATGCACAAAATTGTAGTGAATTTATACATAGATCAAAGAAAGAGGTGTGACAGAATCTTCACATTATGTAGTATGCTCAAGTAATAAAACAACGCAATGATAAAACACTACATGCCAAAGTATGTCTGTTAAAATAGATTGATATATAGAATATAAACCAGATTGTTATAAAATATATGAAAAATATAATTACTAAAACTCACTCAACAAAAAACATAACACCTGTATCAGATATCTTTCTTTCCCAACCATAAGGTAGCTCTATAATAATCACAGTTTATCTATTATGTATATTAAAGTAACTTAGTATTATAAATGGAATCAAGGGCTCTATTGTGGAACTTGAACTACTGATTCACTCTGGTGAGTTTTATTTGGACAATTTAACCGTCAGTGTAATCAATAAATGCAAGATTCATCTATTAAAGCAAAGGATAATTAATGCTTTTAATTAACAACATTTTAGTTTTATAATTTTAATTACTAAGCAGAGAAAGAGATATTTGTTTTCAGAAAATGAAAATTAAACATCACGAAAAATACATAGACCTACCTCCCTTTACTTCCTTCTTTTTCCCTGTCAAAGGATGTGTCCACTGAGTATCTTTTGATTCATGACTGAAATAAATAAAATTATTTAAATTTGCTGAATTTTTATTTGTCAATTTTATTTTGTTGAAAGTTCTGTCCAAAACAATTTGCCCACAAATTGATATTTCTAACTTCATTGCCAGGTACCATTCAATAACATAAAGTGGTTCTGGAATGTGTGATGCAGGAAAACTTTCAATAAATGAATAAACACAATATGAGGTGTGGCCTGAATAGGATATGTGAAAATATCAAAAACCTATAACCTCCAACATTTATAAAACCATATATTGGGCATGGATCAGGTCTATCAACATGTGAGAATTGTTTGATTTATGGAAATATTTTATTGTGAATTCGATTTTAGACAACTGTTTAGTGATAAGGGTTTTATAATTGTTAATTACTCCGTTATAGAACAAATAGATCACAGACAGTAAACTGAAGCGAAAGTAGATTAGGCCTACTAGATATTCAGTCAAACGATTATTACTTTGCATAATATACTTTTCCCTCAAATGTCACTCTTTCTTCCCAGCCTGGGGGTATTTCATCTTCACTGTCAGTATCTAAAACACCCTGACTTGCCATTCCATTAATTATACGTAAAGTCAACTTTGTCTTTATAAGCTAATAGAATTTGAGAATTGCGGGTTAGCTTGTTTATTTGTTCGCTGTTTGTTTTTGTTTGTTTAGGCCTATATACCGCAGCCATTTTAACAATCACGTGTGCATTCGATAACTCGGTCTTCCAGTGCTAAGTGAAATGTTATTAAATTGCCGACAGTCTAGCTATACACCGAGCATCTCGATTCGAAAAATAGAGAATTCTGTTACACATATTGTAATGTGTGAGCTAAAAAAGCTCAACATGTTAAAATTTATGTTTCGGTAAGTTAACTATTTTTCTTTTACATGGGCGTAAGCGATGTAATAACTGTTCGATCGACATCCGCTTCTAAAAATAGTATTCTAAAAATAGTTTCTTATTCATCACTACAGCAAATGTTGCTCTTCTTGCTCGAAAATGTTGTAATAATTCATATATAGCGTGAATAATATACGTGAGATAATAAAGTATGATTACATTCTAGTGCTGAATCTTTTCTCTATTTATTGCCCTAGGCTAATTGCAAATTTAAAAAAAAAAATATTATTGCTGCTGTTTGTGTTTTTAGTTTCCGAGATAGAAAGCGAAAGTAGACCAACAAATAACAAGTCCAAGCTCTTTTCAGGGAAGTAAAAACAGAGACCATAATCTGAAACCAATATATTTATTAATGGTGAAGTATTTATCATATTTATTATGGCTACTAATCGTTTAAACATGGAAGAATATGAAAAATTAAAAGAAGAGGCTGTGACATGGACATCAAAAAGTGATAATCAATTTAAGATTTTAACCTGTGGTGATTGTGATGAAAATGATGAAACTGAGAATAGAATAGATTTTTATGTTGTTGATAATAGTGATATATCTTTTTATATAGTCTTTTCGAAAAACAGCAGTCAAAATACATGGGTAAGTATTGTATTAGTTAATGATGCAGAAACTTGCATCAATCTAAATATAGCTTACTTAACAGAAAAATAAAACTTAGTACGATTTCTAAATCAGAGAGGAACTTTAATCAAATCATTCTAGAAAACGACTTACTAATGGATCAAAGAAATTTTTTGTGAACAGTATGTTGACACTATATAGTGATTAATTCATCACAATTCCAAGACATTACGAGAAGGTTTAGAGTCTGTAGGGCCTACACAGTCTGTACATCAGTATCTGGTGTGTCCCCCGTGAGTGTCAATAACAGCAGTGCAGCGTCTGTACATGGAGTGGACCAGGCGATTGATGAACATCGCAATTCATCGGCTGTGTTTGGTCTCGGTATGACGTTATTAAGTCTCCTCTGAATTTCATCCCAAAGATGTTCAATTGGGTTTAAGTCCGGACTAAGGGCTGGCCAGTGCATAACGTTGACACCATTCTGCACCGTTCTGCTGTAGAATGTTGTTTCGATGACGTGCGAAATGTGGTATGATGTGTTATCTGAGAGCTTGATTGATGTAGCGCACTGCTGTGATGCTGCCTTCTCTCCCTGGACCAAGATTTTGGAACACCACAGGACCCACTCTCTGCTTGGACCTCGCCATGAATCTCGTTCCATGACACATTGATCAGAATAATGCTGGCCACGTCGACGCCATATTCTGGTCCTACTATCTGCAGTTGATACGCAATACCGACTCTCATCTGTGAACAGAACAGTTCTCCATTGCCTGTGTCGACAGTTCTGGTGTTGTTGGGCAAACTGTAGACGTTCACGTCGATGGCGAAGGGTGACAGTTGGTCCACAGTAAGGTTTACGGCAATGGATGTTCTCTCTGGTGAGACGTCGGTGCACTGTATCGGTACAGATGGGTCTTCCGTGTGTTCCCACTGTCTGACGCGCTGTCTCAGATGCCTGTGTGAAGGGATTCTGCACGTGCTGTCGCAGAACATGACAGTCTTGTCGCCTTGTGTTAACCCTTGGTCTACCAGTTCGGAGGTTATCATCCGTGGCATTGGTGGCCCGAAAGCGTTGCTAAAGCCTGTAGATGGTCCGAACATTGACCTGGAAGTGATTGGCAACGGCTCGGGCAGTGTGGCCAGCGTCGAGTCTTCCAAGTGCCTGGCTCCTCTGAGCTGTGGTGAGTCGCGGTATGCTACTGACGTTGTAGCGTGAATGATTCAACCAGGTATGGGGGGTGCATTTTATAGGGCTGGTCCCAGTGAACAGCACGTGCAGCTTGAGTTACATGAAAATCATGGGGAACACATTACCATTTCAGAAGTCAGGTTGCGTTTTTGAGAACATTTTCTGGATTCAATTCTGTGTCTATTCAACCTGACTTTTCTTTTGCTGCTTAGTATATAATGAAAATTTAGCTTTTTTCTTAAATTGCAAATCAGTTCATGCATGAACAAAAACCATAAATATTTACATTCATTTTCTATTTATCATAATAAAAGAACTATCAAATGCTGCTTCCATATAGAAAATAATCACGAATTGGCAGTTTAAAAGAATATTTGAAAATACATGGTTGAACATTTATATAGGCTATGCAGTGGCTGGCATGTGTAATAAGCATTATCCCAGAACTATAATAAGGTCAATCTGCTAAGAATCTTGTGTTACTGTAAACCTACGTCACGTGAATAGCATTGGTATCATGTTAAAGATCTCCTGACTGTAGCGCCACTGTGAGTTATGGCTAAATATCTGTCGATTTAAATCGCACTACATGGCATTTGTTCATCTACATTAGGCTTAGTGTGTAAGACGCTGGTTCGCTAACCTGGAGGTCTCGAGCTTGCTCCCGTTGTTGGATGTAAAAATTCCTCAGGATTTTCCGGTGTGGTTTCCCACACCGGACCATTATAATAAAAAAATTTATATCAATGAATAATAAATTACTGACCAGATAAGTGTCAGAGCAATCTACTTTTTAAATCAGAGATTTTGATATTTACCAAAACTTAGCGATAAACAACTCGAAAACCCTTACCACTCACGCTTGGTGTTACCTCTGATTGTTTAAAATCCATCTCAGAATAAAATATTTCCTAACTTCCTAAAATTATGACCCCTGATTTTACGAAAAATCACATTTTTAACTTGTGGTCCCTCTAGAGGTCACAATTATTATCCAATTTAAAAAACGTTCGAATATATCACTGTTACACCATAATGTTGGTTGAGTTAGAATTTCGTGAAAATCAGACTAAAACTTCCGGACAAAATAACCTCTCCTCGTACGCAAATAGTGTAAACATCTGGTACATGTATATCAAAGTTGTGGTCCCTCTAGAGGTGACAATTTGATCCGAGTTTGATGAAACTTGAAATGCATGTTTATATCTTTTTGATATTTTTGCATATCGGATTGTAACTTCCTGAATTATGGCCCCTGATCGTACAAAAAATCACGTTTTTAGCTTGTGGTCCCTCTAGAGGTCACAATTATTATCCGATTTAAAAAAACGTTCGAATATGTCACTGTTTCTTGAAAATCAGACCAAAACTGTTAGTTGTACGCAAATAGTGTAAACATCTGGTATATCAAGGTTGTGGACTCTCTAGAGGTCACAATTTTGATCCGATTTTGATGAAACTTAAAATGCATGGTTATACCCCAAAGATCTTGGTTCCTTTCGATATTTTCGATATGAAACTTAAAACATATCTTTATATCCCAAAAATCTCAGTCCCTTTTGATATTTACGCATATCAGACTATAACTTTCTGGATTATGGCCCCTGATTGTACATAAAAATCGCTTTTGTTTTTAGCTTGTTCTCTATCCATCTCTTGGAAAATGTGGGCATATCTTGCTTGGCAGCTGCTGGTTACCTTCATTCCAATGAATTAAAGAATAACATTATGGAGTTTTGATTCATTTAATTGTTTTCAAACATTGGTTTTGCTATATAATGTGCTAGTATTTAGTATTTAGTATACATTTGCATTATATTTTGCAGCATTTGTGGAGTGATAAAGAAGACCTTTTAGTTCATTTAAATCCAGCTATTGAATCTTGTAGTTCCTGCTCAAAAAAATCATTAACATCTTTATTAGATCAAGTTTATCATTGTTTAAAAAAGGTAAGCATGATAATAATAATGTGGTAATTTTACCTGCTACAGGTATCTGGACTCATATTTGAATATATTTGTATAGACACACTCTTTCGGTTGGTTTGGTAGGTGGGTTGGGTGGCTGTATGGTCTGAGGTGTGCGGTTTAGATCATAAGGTCTGTCATTAAGTCAAGTGGCATTGTTTCTCTTACCCCGCTTGTACGTGGCAAGGAGAAGGGTCGCCTGTCCAATCTCATGGGTTTTCTCCAGGTGCTCCAGTTTCCTTTCACTGCGAAAGACCCCCACGTGCAAGCATATTAGTGAAATAAAATTGAACCATATGTTAGTCCCAAAATGATCTAGTTAAAGTCGAGTGGACGTTAAACCCTATTTCCCTCTGTCCTGTTTCGGTTGGAAGTCATCAAGCATCCCTAAAGACACACTATCTAGTGTTGTTGTTTTTTATCCTCAAGCATTTAGATTCATAAATATTTGTATGATTAGTTATTTGGAATAAGAAAATGTTTCAACAAATGTGATTTATATAGATTTAATGGTTTTCCTTAGAATTCTAGGTCTTGACAATTTAACTACTGTAGTATAATAACTTTCATTTCAGATTTTATATATTTTATTTTATTATGCCCACCCTCCTATAGTGCATTTTACAAAATTTTAGCTATTAGATCTTGTTTTTCAATTTAGATCACTGATACAAGGGACACCTTTGTACAGGTTATGCTCACATATATAGTAAACTTTACTTTTAACAGGTAGCCGAGGTGGCTCAATGAGTAATGCGCTGGCTCACTAACCATGATGTCCAAAATTTGATCCTGTTGTTGGCCTCACTCCACTTCAGATCCCTGTATGCTCTGAACAGTGTTTCCGATTCCTTAACAAATGCACCAGTTGTCTTTATCTGATTAAAATACAGATCTATATTTCGTTTTTTATACGCCCACATTTTCATGTGAACACATATTGTCGTCGTCCCTGTCCGTCCGTCCGTCTGTCTGTCCACAATTGTTTGTGAACATTCTACAGGTCACAATTTTTATCAGTTTTCAATGAAACTTGAAATATAGGTTTATCACCCTAAGATCTCGGTTTCTTTTGATATTGGCATGTATCGGACTGTAAATTAATGGAATATGGCCCCTGATTGTACCAAAAATCACATTTTTAGCTTGTGGTCCCTCTAGAGGTCACAATTATTATATGATTTAAAAAAACGTTCGAATATATCACTGTTACACGATAACTTCCTGGATTATAGCTCCTGATTGTTTGAAAAATCGCATATTTTGCATGTGGATTCAGAGGTCACAAATTTTTTTTTCCGATTTTAAAAACCGTTTAATTGGGCTGTCAAAAAATATTGCTATATCGATATATTGCAATACGATCAACCGCGATACACTGTATCGATATTTTTTTACGTATCAATATTTTTCTACTTTTATTTTATATTCAAATGTTAGCTACACTGTTTATAAAGACTTAATAAACAGTCATATGATTTAGGCTTTGCAGTAAACAATAAGTCTGCTAAGCCAAATCCAAAGTTGTAAAAACAAATATAAAGTGAAATGTTATTCACATAATCAGTCATATTATACATTTAGGCTTTGCAGTAAACAATAAGTGTCCAACACCAAAGTTGTGAAAACAATAAAACTATTCAAAATAAAACTGCTTTGTGGTAAACCCTGACTTTATCGAAGTATGGCAATTCTGCAATACATTGCAATACTTTTTGTCAAGTATCGCAATATAATGCGATACAATTTCTGGCCGCAATACACAGCCCTACCGTTTAAATATATCACCATTCCACCATAATTTCGGGAAAATCGAAATGAAACTGCCCGACAAAATGGCCACACTTTGTACGCAAATTGTGTAAAAGTATTCTACAAAGGTTGTGGACCCTCTAGAGGTCACAATTTTTATCCGATTTTGATGAAACTTAAAACATATCTTTTTATCCCAAAGATCTCAGTCCCTTTCGATATTTGGGCATTTCAGACCATAACTTTCTGGATTATTGCCCCTGATTGTACAAAAAATCCTGTTTGTTTTTAGCTTGTTCTCTAGCCATCTCTTGCAATATGTGGGCGTATCCTGCCTGGCAGCCGTTGGTTTATACTTTGGATGGCCTCTACTACATGAAGATCTGACCAGTTTTAGTGGAAGGTCAAGTCAGAGGTCATACGAGTGGCTTTTGACCCTATGACATCAGACATTTGATTAACCTATCAGTGTTGATGTTTCTACTAGTGGGTCACCCACAGTTCCCTGCACCTCACGCCAAAAGCTTGCCGTAACAGACTGTTTCATTATACAGAACATGGGTTATATAACAACTGTTCCAGATCTTATTGTAGTAAGACAAGTAAAAAGAAATTTTGAACTATAAAAAACGAAATGAAATAGGATCTGTTTTAATCCTATATTCAAGATACATGTTTTAAATAGGGTGACGCTGGAAAGCATCCAACTAAATTTTTAAATCATTAGTAGAAATGGTGAGAAATGCTCAGACGTTTGATCTTACAGTTGCTGCATTCCAAAACAACGGCCCAAAAATCAAACACTGCTGATGATGATGACAGTGAGAATGAATTCCAAGATTGTGATAATGGTGATGAAGGATTGGATGATGATGAAAACGATGAAGATGATGGTGATTATGATGATGATGGGTATTATAATGATGATGATGTTGATGAAGAAGTCACTACTATATTGAAAACTAAGTAATTATTTCTAAATTGCTCCTATTAATCAAAATGTTTTAAAGAGTTTAAAATTCTATAACAGGGAGCCACGGCAGCTCAGTGAGTAAGAGTTTCACAGAGTTTCTCAAGATTTTCCGTCGTGGTTTCCCCCTTGTCAGTGGTGCAGGATGGAGGGCCTGGCAAGGAACAGAGTTTAGTTGTTTGGATGGGACATAAAATCAAGGTCCCATGTACACATTTGCATGCACATAAAAGAACCTTGAGAATTGAAATTCGAAATAAGAGTAGGTAAAATTTCCCACATAGCACACTGCATCCCACATAGCACACTGCATGGTGAATGCCTGTCTTCATTAAAATAGGATGTTAAAGCTCATTTCATTTCATTTTCATATCTATATAACAAAGAATCCTTATCAACACTTAATCTCACACACTGAATTTTACAACTAATTTCAAATATTTGGCAGTTAGTTCATATAATTATATATATGGATGTGATTATATTTTTTCAGGGATCATTCTGAAGATCAAAATGATGAAGATGATGGTGAATTCTTTGAAGGTCAAGGAGATCCAACAGCAGTGGCCAGATTAGTAAAAGGTATATACACTTAGTTATCAAATAGACCTTAAACCCCGAATAACACAATCTCTCTCATTATAAATACCAGTGTGTAACTAACGTTTATGGATATTATTGTATAGTCAGTAACAACACGTGAAACCATCATAAAAATCTAGGTACCTTTTTCTGTACCAGGTATTATGGGTTGAGATTAAAGGGTTAATCAAGTAAAATGACTTTCTGTTTACTTGCTATGATCTAGCACTACCCTAGTATTGAATTAACTTGGTTCATCTGACATCGTTATAATGTTGTTTCCCCACTGAAAACGTTGAGTTGAACCTGACTTTGACACAGCTTCATTGTCAACTGACTTACTTCTCTACTAAAATATATCTGTTATCAAACCAGTAGTTGCAATAAGCCAGACATCTAGTAGAATAAACCATTTCAAGGTAACCAAGACTAAATATAATTTTGAACTAGGGGTGGTGTAAAGCGTAGATCATAAAGTTTTCTTTGGGTTCTCCGGTTTCCTCCAACAGCTAAACCCCCCAACACGCGAGCGAATTATTAAAATAAAATTTACCATATTACCTATTTTGTGTTGAGTGGATGTTAAACCCAAGCTCTCTGATTTGGCTTAAGCTTGGAAAACAGTTTGAGCTAGTCGAAACATTACAATTATTGACAATGGACATCTGGTCATCTCATTTACATTTGTAAACATAGACATGTGGTGTATCGGAGCATTCACAATAAAAGTATAATGCGACAACGGACACAGATGACAACAATATAAGGCCATATGAATTTTGTTGTGTATAAAAAATGATCACATAATAAATATGTTTAATATTTACTAATTTATTTTTCAGATATGAAGAATATGCAAAGAATATCAGGAAAATATGGTATAGAAGCCCATCCTAGAGGTGATAATTTATTTGTCTGGGTATGTTTAAAGCTCACGTTTTCTAAAGTAAACAATACTAACTAGAAACTACTAAGTGATATTTGTTTATTCACGTGGGGTAACAGCAAGACATGTATGTCTAGACAATAAATGGAGGTTCCATGAACACCCTGGCAACATACATAAAAGGTATTGACATGGTGATGAAATTTGAAGAGGAATAGAGGGAACCATTCCTGTTGGGGCATTATTCTCCTCTCTAGCAATGCAAATGTGACCATATTGATTATTATTAAATGACATATATAGTGAGGTTTGGTTTTCCTAAATATTTTGGATGGTTGGGTTTACGTTCCTAGAATATTTCCAAAAATTCTAGCGAAGTAATCTATTTGGAGTATTTGTCCTGTATGAGCAGCACAATAAAAAACAGATATAATTGCATTTTACCTCATGAAGCTTGGATATGGCTAGGTTGCACTGAAAATTATGTACATTAATTTTTTAACTTTTTAAGGGTGTCGCCACTGCACTCCGCAAGAGAAAACTGGTATTTAGATACTTTTATGCCTCATATTGTTATCTTATCTGGGTTGTTTAACTTGATGTCTATAATTGATTTTACAATAGGATGTCAAATTAACAGATATACCAGAAGATACTGTACTGGGAAAAGATCTAAAAGCATATTCTGAAAAATATAAACGTGAGGTATGTGATGTAAACAAGACGATATTTAACACAATCTCAACACCACAGACATTTACCCAGATAGAATTAAGATACAGTGGGGTGCGGAGTCAACATCAACACTGGACTTGAATTGACACAATTAATCAATTAATATTTGAAATACTTATAAAGTGGCAGTTTGTTGTCATATTGATCACTGGGAATAGAGAATCAATGGGGTTTTTTTAAAATTGTCATTCCATTTGATTCAGAATATTTTTTAATGCTACACAATCATTTGAGTCAGCATGTTGTTTAATACTAATATACAATCATTTGAGTCAGAATGTTGTTTAATATTAATATACAATCAAATGAGTCAGCATGTTGTTTAATACTATACCATCATTTGAGTCAGAATGTTGTTTAATACTATACAATCATTTGAGTCAGAATGTTGTTGTCCCCGTGAGTGTCTGTATGTCTGTCCGTCCATCTGTCCATCTGCCTGTCTGTCCGTCACACTGTTTGGGACACAATAACTCTCCTTCTAATTGAGCTAGAATTTTCAAACTTGGTGTAGGTGTTTATTAGGTCAATGCTTAGGATAAGCAGAGATAAACAATTTGATTGGTTGATGCTTTGGGACATAATAACTTGAGAGTGAGAGTGATGACACTGGGTGTATAGTTTTATCACATCAATACCTTGACTAAGTTCGATAATGAGCATTTTATGCTCTGGGAAAGCAGAGCGCTAAGCAATTTGATTGGTCAAGACTTAGAAACACAATAACTCTCCTTCTAATTGAGGCATTCAGTAGGTGAATGCATTCAGTAGGTGAATGCCTTGATGGAGTTCAATGATAAACATTGTCTGCTTAATGTAAGCAGAGATAAGCAATCTGATTGGTTGATGCTTTGGGGCATGATAACTTTGGTTTTAACTAAGTGAGAGTGATGAAACTCTGAGTATAGATTCATTATATCATTACCTTCACTAAGTTCGATGGTGAGAATTTTCTGCTTAGGCTAAAGAACAATAAACAATTTTATTGGTCAAGACTTTGGAACATAACAACGCTGCTTTTAATTGAGGTAGAATGTTTAAACTTGATGTAGATGTTTATTAGGTGAATATCTTGACTGAGTTCAATGATTAACATTTCGAACTAAAGCTAAGCAGAGCTAAGCAATTTCATTGGTTGATGCTTTGGGACAAGATAACTCTGATTCTATCTGATAGAGAGTGATGAAACTTAGTGTATAGTTTGATTGCTCGATAATTTTGAAAAAAATAAATCTGCGATTAATTAATATGTGTCATCTATTTATTTTGGGATTTCGGCAGGGGACATCGGCCTCACTGTTGGCTTGTTTAATACTATACAATCATTTGAGTCAGAATGTTGTTTAATACTACACAATTATTTTCAATCTCATTAATTGTGCACAAACAGTTTTTTTTACACAATTTGATATGGTTAGAATATTACCTATATATTTAAACTAGATTTACCTTGGGTTATTGAAGTTGCATCTAAAAAGGAATTACAGGAACATTAATAATGCATATTTTTTTACAAATTTATTCTAGGCTGTAGTAAATATGGAAATGCAGTTTCCTAAAGATTATCCTTTTAGTCCGCCATTTATTAGAGTTCTGAGGCCAAAGTTTCAGTTTTTAACAGGTAAGTTTCATCAAGTTGTATGTTGGTTAGAAAATGGCAAATATACTAAAGATTGACGTTTTCAAGATATATAACTTAATGTATAGTTATATTTTAAACTTTAATTTGGGTCCAAATATCAAATTGTCTGTTGATTTGTATGTGTTGATTGGCTGTATGGGATGATAAAACTTAAAGGGTGTATGGCTATTTTTTTTAACCTTGAAATAGACAAAAATCTTTCTAAAAGCACATATTAATGTAATATGAATGTATGAAAGTGATTTATATTCAATTTTTAAAAAAAAATATTGTAATATCTAATAAATTATGTTCGGTGAAATATACGTGAACAGTACAAATTGAACGGCAGTCGTTATGCCTGCTTAGTAGCTTTCAACACATTTATTAAATTATTATTTTGTCGTTTGTGAATCAGCCTTTACTAACTACTTGCTCATTGTGTTGTAGGATATGTTTTGATTTGTTCATTACAAAATGGCACCCGAAACCATAGGGTACACGACCTGTGTCCTGATTTTAAAATGTTAATTGTGTCTTACATATTGGATATTAGGATCCTATAGTTTCACCGCAAGATAACAACATCAATATTGATTGAAATTGATCAATATTGAATTCTAATTTGTGTTTTTAATTTCAAATATTATGGAAAATATTGAGTTAGAGACTTAGCTACTTTTAATCAAGGGGGGTTGGATGGCTGAATGGTTAGCACGTACGCGCTGTATCATAAAGCCTGTCATTGAGTCAACTGGCGTGGTTTTGAATCCCCGGTTGTATGTGACAAGGAGTAGGGTCGCCTGTCCAACCTTGTGGGTTTTCTCCGGGTCCTCCGGTTTCCTCCCACTGCTAAAGACCCCTACGCGCAAGCGAATTATTGAAACAAATTTAAACCATATGTTAGTCTCGAAATGACCTAGTTTGTGTCGAGTGGACGTTAAACCCCATTTCTCTCTCTCTCTCTCCCCCATTTAATCAAAAAGGTTTAGCACCTTAAAAAAAAGAAGATTGAAAAGGGAATTATATTATATAATGTATATTATGTCATGTTTTTTTAAGGACATGTTACTATTGGTGGAAGTGTTTGTTTACAAATGTTGACTAAAAGTGGATGGAGTCCAAGTAATGATATAGAGGTTAGTTATAAAATTCTGCTGTCTGGTGAAACATATTTTTAAATTGGCTGGTATTGTTATTAGGTACTTTATGATTATATTTTAAATTTGATAAAAACCTATTTGATATTTATACTAGAATAACCAATGAAAATTGATGTGGGGTGGTGTAATATGCACAATGTCTGAAAATCACATGTTGATGCAATAAAATATGTACCATATGTGATTACATGAATTCTGTGTTTTTGGGAAAAGTTGTGCAACAGGCTTAACAACTATTCTCTGCTTTCATTTTCAGCTAATACTTATTCAAGTTCGAACAGAAATCTTAAGTGATAAAAATGCCAGACTAGACAAAAGTAAAGAAAACCAAGAGTACACACTGGACGAAGCCAAGCAAGCTTTTAATAGAATGGTTACTAGATATGGATGGAACAAGTGATTATTTGAATATTGAAAACAGCAAACATTTTCATAATATAATTCCCCAAAAAAGAGTAACATGCAGAATTCTAGAAAAACTTGATAATATAAATAAAATGCAGAATTCTAGAAAAACTTGATAATATTAATCTGCTGAAGATTATTGATTAAAAGATATTGTTACTTTTAGAGAATCAGAAAACTCCAAACCAGCTCCATTTATTTATGTTTATAAAGTATATTTAAAGATTTACATTTTATTTTATTTTTCCTATTTGCTATCAATGTTTTTAATGTTAAATTGGTTGATTAAAGACATATTTCCAAGGCATTTTGCTCATTTAAATTCAATAAAAATCAGGGCCAAAAAGGGATGTGTATTTATCAGTGGTGGGTGAACTCTGTTGATTGTTAAATTTGGTGTAAAACATTGGGATCAGAGAGCATGAACCCTGTTGGTTTTCAGCATTCTAGGATGTTTTGTTCCAGAGATATCCTTTGTGTCAGGAAAAACTTGTGAACACGACAGAGATCAGATTTCTTGACGGCATGAAGGATCCTTATCAAATTTGGTCAACCTCTTAGTTTTCCTTCTATAAGCTGCTGTCTATGACTATTGTCTGCTAGATTAAGTCTGTATCTGGCTTACTAGCCTCTGAGACTGCATAGGATGTCGTTCTCTTTGGGATCAGCAGTCGTCGCAAATTTATTTAGTCTTTTCATGGTCAATGACCCAAGTAGAACTGTCTTTGTGTTCATTGTAGATGTCGTCGTTGAAGCAGTCTGATAATAAATTGTCGATTAACGTCCGCCTCCACATAGGGTTAAATCGCAGATAAATGTTTATTAGGAAACTTGTAGCGATTCATGACTGAGAGGCGAGTTACAGTCCCTATCCCGTAGTTAAAGTTGCAGTCGTATCTTTTGAGATACAATGTCCAATGGAACCTTAACAGGGATATTTTCGCTTCAATCTAAAAGTGTTGCTTCTGGGAACAAGTTTTAACCCATGTAACCTCATCTGAAACTTTGGGATGGCGGCAGGCGGGTGCTGACTGACCCACCTTTACACCCTGGCTACGATCTAGCACTGTCTGACAGCAAGACCGTAGAATTTACCTGTCTTTCTCGCTCAAACATAAAGCATTGTTGCAAGTAAAATGTCTCGAGGCTCGAGCACTTTATAGTGCCGTTCGACTTTACTTCTTGCTGGAATGCCCGGGCTACTATTTTGCCCGACTATACGTTCATAACTTCATACCCCCTTATGTCTACATGAGAAAGGACCCTGCTACCCGTTGTCGGTTACTTCTCATAGGTAATGCAGATCTGGAAAATCATTTCAGAACATACATCAAAGCCCTCATGAGTAAAACAAACTGGAAAAACAGCAGGTTCGACAACTTCCAAATCACAAGCGAAGGAGCTGGGAGGAAGTCCAGGGCACAATCCCGTTTTTGGCTGAGAAAGTTCTCCGAGATTTTCCAGCGTGCTGTAGAAAAGTAGGAAGTTAAACCCTATTCTGTCTCTTTAAAACTGATCGTGACATCTCTTTTAAAAATCTAGATATGCCGGAACAGGTATTTATCTCTTTGAGAGGCAACGCAACAGAGGACCTAGACACATACCGGATTAGATCTCTACAAATCGATACAAAATCAAATATTTTGCAAAAGTCACCAGACAGTGGCATACAGATGGCGGCATGTAATCATTACAAATGAATGTAAAACAAAGAAAAATACCCAGGACACTTACTCCAAGCATAATAAACTATATTTTGAGTGGATTGGTAGGAACTTATGGGAAATTGCTGTATCCTAGAGACATTTTCTAGTATATCTGCGTGAATATACCTACTAGATCTACTCCTGGCAGCTGAAATATACATAGCTGTACATTTTATATGAGATCATTGCCAGAGACTGGTGGCATGGCTATATTTTAAAGAATGCAAAATTATCTATGAACATAAATTCAAAAAAGTGGATTGGCAAAAATATACCTTTTGCCGACCACCAATTACAACTTGTCGGCGAACGCGGTCGCATGGCTACATATTAAAGAATGCAAAATTATCTATGAACATAAATTCAGAAAAGTGGATTGGCAAAATACCTGTTGTCGACCACCAGTTTCAACTTGTCGGCGAACGCCAACCCAGCCGACCAGGTTGCCGTGCCACTGACACACATTCCAGACTACCTATAACTACTTACATTTTATCAAGGAAGATAAACTGATTTTATTGGTCGATGCTTTGGGACAAGATAACTTTGGTTCTAACTTATGGGGAAACTTAGTGTAGAGTTTCACTACCAGGAGCTTCAAAACCTTGACTGAGTTCGATTGTGAACATTTTCTGCTTAGACTAATTACAGACAATCAGTTTGATTGCTCGATACTTTTGTAAAAGATAAATGTGCAATTAATCAATATGTGTCATCTGTTTATTTTGGAATTGCGGCGGGGGACATCAGCCTCACTGTTGGCTTGTTAAATATTGCATTTTGAATTGGACAATTAAATTTTAAAAAAAATTGAAAGGAAAGGGATGAAATAACGGTAAAGCCATTAAGATGATCCATGAGCCCCAAACTATCAATACAGACCTATGGCTAAAATCTTGAGGTGGGGACAAATCCCCGAACCAAACGAATCAAGTGTGGGATTATAATGTGGTAATGTATCGGGAGAATTAGTGCAGTATTGGTGTGTGTCTATTTTACAAAATGTCCATCTTCAAGAATATTTGTCAGGGGTGCAGGATAGAGGGTCTGGAAAGGAACTGCGTCTAGTCGCTCGGATGGACGAAACTCCGAGGTTCCGTAACGTCGCTGTCCGGACAAAATTTCCCTCATGGCTCACTGTCCGTCTTCATCAGCCCGGATGGAGTGGAAAAGTAGGACATTAAACCCCATTTCATTTCATTTCATTTCACGAAAATTAAGGATGAGATACGAATTAACAGAACAGGTCTGTCTTCACCACAGTTTTCCCCTCCCAATACACAAGAGGTATCCTCGATGAAGCCAATACATGGTAAGGCGGTTGAGTGTGGGCTTTGTGACAGGGCAACGGGTTATTAAATATTTTTACAAATTTTGACTAGGATCACAGTATAGCCTTTGCGTTCAACCGTTACGGGTTAATACAAAACTAAACATGGTGGTTTCCATCAAACGAAGGATTGTTGGCCAGTGCCGTACATTAACCGATTGGAATAATTTGTCGCGCTGTATATATACCACTAATCTATGATTATTCCTGGGTGGGTGCTAGCCTTCAAGTATAGATTTTATATATATCAGCCCAGGTAGTTTGTTGGCGATGAACTGTCTGCCAGTAGGCCCAAAAATCACCGGCCAACAAACCCTTTGCTTTGTGTTCGCAGACCTTTAGTGGCGTTTTGTCTGAGATATAATTATAAGAAATCAAAGCGCGCATAAAGAGTATGATACTTAACTGAGTCTTCAATATCCCGGTTAGTGCAGAAAAGTAGAACGTAAACCGCATTTTTTTATCATTTTTGCAAACATTATGCCGCAAGGAATTATCCGAATAATCTGGCCAAAAGTTATTCTTTCAGTTCATGTCCCTCGTTTTTTCTTAATGTATTTGTGAAAGTGTTGAGTAAAAAATTGATATTCAGCTATAATATAGATATTTATTTCGTGAATAAATTAAATGACAATACTTACATGCTAAATACATTATAACAGACGGCCAAAAATATAAATATTACTTGGCATTTTAAAATAAAATAAATATCTCCCGATTAGGTTTTCACCTGGCAAGAGTCATCTGGATTGGCTACACATTGTATCGCGTGTTTCTATATTTAAGATGGCGGTATTAACAATTCTTAAAATTCATACAGTAAAACAATCTCTCTGATTAGCGACCATGTATGTTCTCTTTGACTAGGCGTCGTATTGCAACGGTCGATAAGAGTATCAGGCTCATAATAAAAATAGAAATATAATATAAATTGCATCTCAGAACTCTAAAAATTTCTAATTTTCTGGAAATTATCAGAATCTTCGTAACTTCAATATTTATTATTCGACTGTTAATATGAAAATAATCACTAATAAAAATAACAATTATCAAGGTTTTGTTTTTTTGTTTTTTAAAAAAAAAAAACAACAATAATGATAACAACGTCATGCCGTAAAGTTCTACATAAAATGATAAACTGAGACTAGTAGACTTCAGAGGACAGACTTATATATATTTTAAACAAAACATAAAAAAGAATTTAGATCTAAAGCTGTGTTATGTGTCTATATATATATGTATTTTTTAAATATGTTGATTAATTTGTGAGTCGAATATGTGACGAAATAAGGGGCAATCTAAGACAACATTCGGCACCATGTGATGACACGTGGCATTGGGGCAGTTTTCGCGAAACATTTATGTTGATACTTCAGTTTTATTGACCGCAAGCTACAGTCTGTTAGGAGTCATTTATACTGAGCCCGAACGCGATCACTGACCACTGTGACTTTCTGCGCGAATCATTCGTACTGACAGCGGCGATACGAGCGTAATTTCGCAGATAAAACTGGCTCATTGAAGATTTGATCACACACTCTGATTAGCTTATGAAAATCGATCGCGCGAACTGTTTCCAAAAATTAGCCCTGGACCTACTTCACGAAATCTTAACTAAGATAAATTCCAAATTTTAGTAAATTGATTGGATAATATTAGATTGATTTTAGCGCTTAGCCAATCAAAATTGAAGTACTAGTATCTACTAAAATTTGGATTTTATCTTTAGTACTTAAAATTTCTAGAAACAGTGCCCTGGAGGTAAACTCCGCGGTTTTTTCACACGAATAAAAATTATCCAGCGATGACCCGCAGTATAAACGACTTTATTCAAACGGTACTAATTTAATCAATCAAATGCGGTTACCTTGTTTGAGCTCGGTATAAACGGCCCATAAGTATACTGCCTATCGACCCAACAGGGAATCCTGATCCGTATACAATTTTGTGGAATAAAATGAGGTCGTCATGACGTTTCTCTCTTACTAATTGTATTGGCGCTTCTAAATTAATTTAAGATCATAACTGAATATCTAAAAAAAACAGCAGGAACTTTATATAAAGTATCGGTAAAGGGTATCTTATCTTCAAAGTATAATTTTCCTTTTTTTCGTCCGAGCACAAACTTACGCACCAACACGAAATTGCTCAAAAATGGATCGCATATGTGTACGGAAGCGTATAGGGGTCATGCAAAATTTTGTAGACGGTCTCGAGATCCAGTTATCTTGTGATACTTTCTCGAAATCCCGTGATCACCTGGAAATTTTCTCGAGATCTCAATTTAATGTTCTCGAAATCGCCTGATAATTTTCCTGGGATAGTTCCATCCTGAATTAACGATCTCGAGAATCTTCCCGAGATATTGACATCCTGGGTAAATTTTCTCAAGATCCCGAGTTAATATGAAATCTTATGATAGTGTCTACACGATGTGAAGCAGCCATTGGCCCAATACTTCGCACCAAATTTGATAAAAAAAAACAAAACAAAAAAACTCTAGCATTTGTTACAAAGGAAAACTGCTAACCAATAAACGAATAATCGGTAGGGTTCATCCATTTTCTTATGGTACTCATGATTTACACTAAATTTGAAATATGATTAAAATCGATAGGGTTCATCGTCTTATGGGCCCAATACTCCTCGCCAAATTTTGAAAATCAAAACCTTACCACGCTAGCTTTTAATGTGTGACGCTTTGAATTACAGACACGTTTGTTAAATTCTTTCATTTTAATGTGTGAGCGACATTTTATTGAAAATATAATTTTTTTGCATGGTTTTCAGACCATATTTTTTTGTAGAATAAAGCTAGACACAGAGTTTATTGTCTTGTGACACAAATGCTTCGCGTTCACAAGGTTTATGGGAAATAGGAATAACGCCATAACAGAATGTCAGGTTTATTCTCTAGTGGCAACAATTAAAAATTTATCCTTCCAAAAATCTAGATTCTATCCGTTCACAAGGATAAATCCCGCGGAACGCCGAAAATAAATAAAGTTCATGACCCCAATTCTTCACACAAAATTTAAAAGTGAGGCCTCTATGACGTTAACAAGGCTTTTTCAAGGAGTGGGGTATATTGAGGAATAGTGGGCCACAGAATGCTGAATATCGATAGGGTTCGTCCTCTCATCTTCCCATATTTGAAAAAAAAAAAAATACGGACAACGAGGATAACTCTGGAACAGAAGTTTGTGGAGTACTGAAAATCGAAAGGTCCTAGTGCTTCACACCACATTTGAAAAACAAAATCAGTTAGAAATTGTAGCCTCTATTGCGTTAACAAGGTTTTCGGAAAAAGGTAGGGTGGGGGTAACTCCGAAACGACAGGTTGCGGGGCGCTGAGAATACATTAAAAATACGCGCACATTAAAATACCCGAGATCTCGAGAAAATTTACACAGGATGGCAAGATCCCGATAACATTAACTCGAATTCTCGAGATCGTTAACACAGGATGAGAGATTCTCGAGAAAATTATTAGGAGATTTCTAGAACATTAAATTGAGATTTCGAGAAAGTATCACGGTATCGCCAGGATCTCGAGGTCTTCTACAAAATTTTGCATGACCCCTATACGCTTCCGTACATGTGCCCTAATTTATTTTTTTATTTTGCATCAGTTGTCGTAAAGCATGTTTGGCATTAATTGGTAGCTTTTCATCAAAATTTGATAAATCCATTTGGATTAAATTTATCTTAAAGAACACCATATTCAAAATTTAATTTAAAATTATTTCTAATACGTGTAAAACTTACGAACCGGATGTGGATATACTGTTTCGTACAAATGAGTTTCAGGCAGACGAGAACAGATTAACGAGTGAAAGTGACTTGTCATCATAACAAACCGGTATGCTGGAATATTCCAGGATTATTTTTTTCTTTTTCAAAAAAGAAGAAGACTAGTGTTTGATTGAATGGGCTAGGCTACAACCAAGAAGAAAATGGATTTAGCTGGTGGTTAGTTAATTTAGTGAAAAGGGGAACTTCCACCAGAATTTTCAGACAATTCAGCAGAGACTAAGAATTCATAGCAAAAGATGATTTGCGTATGAATTCAGTTAACAATAAACGGAAGCAGCTTCAGAGGGATCAAAATCGACACCGCGGATTAAAAACAGAGCTTGGGTATGATTAGCAAAAAGATTAAGCTTTAAGACAAATCAAAATAAAAATTAAAATTTAAATCCAGAGATGAACCTTGAAATAAATTTAACTTAGTTCAATTTCAAAAAGAAATTCGAAAAGTTTTGAACTATGTACACTTTGGAAAAACTAATAAGCAGGATTCATAGCCAAAATCTGTTTACACAGAAGAGACATTCAATTGAAGATATTAAACCCTAGACAACCGAAATATCGGTCCTTTATATTGTCAAAGAGAAATAACCCTGTTCATAAGAATGAAATAAAAACGAGGCTTACAAAGTGAGCCAGGTATATGTTAAAATAAATTTCTTAATAGAAAGAAATCAGTATGCCTTCAATTAAATATCTCTTGAAAAAGTGCTACTGAAATCATAAAGATCGGAAACCACCACCATGAGATGAAATAAAAAGAGGCACCGCCACCAGGGTTTTGAAATTAGATGTTTATTTTCGAGATTATGCGTAGCTACACTACATTTCCATAATACATGTATAAACATCTATAATTAGTATATATATTTTTTTCTTTCTAAAAACAGATCAAACTTCTTGTAGATATAATATCATAATACATAAGCAGTACACATGCAGGTAATTGTCATAAAATTCAAACTACTTAATTAATAATATAAGTTGGGAAACAAGTAAGCGTTCTCCCAATTAAAATATATTCATCAAATATTCACTATATACAAATATATCATTTAATTGCGCTTTTCAAGAGGGTGGAATGCAAGACGAAGGTCACAGTTTCAAGCAACTAATCAATTAATAATTAATTAATTATCATATGTTTCTTTAATCAAATTATTTCAGCAATTTTAAAATAATAAAATCTTTGTTATTAAACTTTTTATCTTGTTATATTTAAAAATAAAATCCAAAAATTGTATAGTAAAATGTAATAATAAAGATAAAATGGTTGTATAAACTGAATTGCATTGGATCGAAAGAAGAGAACGCGTCTTGAGATCTTTAAATTAAAACTGAAAACTACAAATGTGCATATTTTGTGAACCATGATTCATCTTGCACGACTCGGCTCCGTGTATTGCACATAAATATGTAATATAATATATATATCTCTATATACAGGTAGACAAATGTTTATCTAGATGTCCAGATAGTGGTTTACAAAACGCGTCAACATAATATTTTGGTAATAAAACAATTTTGAAGAAAAATTAACTAAAAACTATAACAATGTGACGTTTTAACGCCAATATATTCATATGCATATATACGATATATACAAAAAAAAATGAGATTGCGGTAATAGGTGCCATACAAATGCTGAACTTGTGCAATTACATTAAGGCACTTTTTTTTAAAATAAATTCGAAATGCACTTTTCCTTTTCTAAGTAATTTACTTAGTTCAACATGCATATTAACTCATTTGACTAGAATATATAATTTAGAATGAATATACTATAAACATTAATTTTTGAAATTTGAAGAAAATAATATATATTATCAATAATCCATATTTTACACAAAATAGATAAAATCATTTTAAATTCCTGGCTGGAATGTAATTTCACTTGCTAATCAATAAATTTCATACTTGATATTTGCTATAGCATTCAATAACAGAATGGTTATATCTTTTCTTTTAAAAAACAAAAACAATATACACTGTACAATGAGCATTAAAGACAAAAAAAATCACACGCATACACAAAACACATACATTAAAAGGTATAATATTAATAAAGTTATATATAATATATATTTTATCTTTAACGGAACATATAATATTGGTTATACTAAATGAATGCTATATAGTTTACACTATATTTTATTTTTTAAAAAAATCAAATTTATTATTTTTTCATACACGCTATCGGCCACTTAATTCTCAAATTATAGACCATATTCATTAAAGTTTCATAAATTTGTTTAAAAATCTTTTGCAGGATAATTAATTTGACTTTATAAATAAATAAATATTATCACTTGTGTTATAATTATTTTACTACATTGTACTTGATTTTGTTTTGTATTTCATAATAATCAATACCTATTTTATTTACTATATTATAACAAACCTACAAATATTATCTTTACATCTGAATTATATCAAATATATTGGGAATGTATGCAAAAAATAAATATTATTTTTATATAAAAGGTGGAATATTGGAATGTTTTGGGGAAGATCTTTTCGCTTTTTAAGCTTTGCATATAGAGTTTGGAAGACCTAATTAAGCTAAAGCTTAAAATAAGAGCACTTTTTTATATTGTAAATGAATACAAAAAACAATTAAATTGGAATTTATCTATAATATTATATGGATGATATGATAAAAAGATATGTGAAGTAGAAATTATAATGACTAGTGGTATTGTTAGCAAACTTATTGTACCTGCCATTTTGTACACGTAATAAATATAGCATCTATATGGTGTACATTATATAATTGCACCATCTATGGCCATTCAAATGAGGAACCAAAATGAGACAAAAAAATCAACATGAATTAGATTACATTTTGTTACTTAGGTTATGTATCATTCACTACAAACAGCACAGAAAAATATATATAAATAAATTTGGTCGTACCCTTGTCGTTATCTTAAAATATCAATATAAATAATCTAAATATCTTAATAAATACGTTTCTGTGGGTTACTGAGCAGTTGTCATGGAAGCCGGTTGTTAGGAAACCAGGAATAGTTCTATGAAGCGATTACCGAGCATGCGCCTGTTCTTTTCTAGTATTGCACGTTCCGCCTCAGTACGTGAAGAAAACGTAATCAAAGCATCCCCATTAGGTTTTCCCTCTGTATTGCGTTGAAGCTGTATGGTTTCTGGGTTTACCTGAAATGATACAAGTGTTATCTTTAAGCAAAACTGCAAACAAAGGCCTGTAATAAATATTTCATAAAGATACCTTTTATAAAATAAAATATATGATATTCAAGAGATCATTCAAGTATAGTTTTCTTCTTGATGCAGCACGCAAAGATTCATTTTTGTGGACTACCACTGCTTTAGATATGGCTCCAGTGTATAATTTAATATTAAATAAATACAACTGGCCATATAATCATTAATCTTCAGTTCGTTTCAGTTTAATTTACGATTGCGCTATTTTAAGTCGGAAACTCGTGCTTCGTGAAAACAGCAACATCAATAGAACGAAGCATAAATCTACAGATTTCACAAAAATGACCGTTACCCCATGCAACAACCATTTGGTTGTATATAGATAAGATTGTTTCTAAGCTGCTTATAAAATTAACAGATTCAAACATACAAGAGGTCGGAAACAACATAATAAACACAGTGTGAAAAGCAAAACTTAAAAACAATAACAAAAACGAGGATTGTAATGAGGAGTCTTCCACCAAAAACAAAATGTCTAAGGAAATAAAAAAAAATGCTGAGGATCACAGAAAGGGAAAGAAAACAACATTTGCTCCAAAAAGAGAGAGTACAGAAATTTGATAAGAGATTAAGAGTTGACTGCCACACATTGCACATCCAGGGTATGGTAGAATCGTCATCAGCAATCACATACCTCTGGGAACCCTTGGAAATAATTCATAACATCCTGACAACTCGCATTGAAAGGAAGACCTCTCATTACAATAACCGAGGGCCCAGATGGGGCCAAGTAATTCTGAGGAGAAACAGGAGGACTAGGGTACCAGTATAATATAGGAGGAAAGTAGGCTGGCCTCTGTGCTGGAATATGCGTCATGGCTGGATGATGCTGGAAGGCTTGCATGGGCGCTGGTTGAGGCATCTGATATGGTAAGGAAGCTATCGATGATGTAGGAATCATGGTCGGAGGTGAAACAGCTGAAATATAATAAAGAGTCATAGTTAGCATCCATGTGATGTTATATTGATTGTGCGTGTTGCCTTAAATCAGAGGCATATACAGCTCTGCTTAAATTGTAGAAACCAAAAGCTACATTGAAAGTTTAATTTAACTGAATATACTGACCCGTAGGAATTAATTGTCGCTGGATCATTGGTGCCACTGCTGGCGGTAAAGCTGCCGTCATGGGCATGCCATTTGTTAGCACTAAACTCATATCATCTCCTGAGCATGGGATGACGTCAATGATACGTTTCTTATTAGCAAAGATCATCTGACGACGATGTCTGTTTATAGATGTTAGAACTGCGGCTTCTTCCGACTCCATTTGTATAAAAGCTTCTCCACTCGCTTCACCCTATAGGTTTGAGAAATCAAATTTATTATAATCATAAACAAACTATTCTGAATATGCAGCAAATTTAATATAGTTGTAGTTAGTTTCGTTTGGATAGTTTATAAAATTCATAAAGGGATTGACATGAATAATATCTTTACCTGGGAGGTATACACCATATGTACACCTTGATATACTATAAATTGTGAGTATTCTCCCAAAAATGTGAGGATATCGGTCACTTGAGCACCTGTCGGTAAATTTCGTAATCTGACACAGTCTCTTCGTGTACCACTCGTAATGAAGTTCTGAGGAAGCATGGGTAGAGCCGTTTGTTGTGGTATTTGTGCTATAAGAGGTGAAAGTTGACTGTCGGCAGGCTGTTCCGGATTCCTGGGATCCATACTTCTATTTAGCACCTATAAAACAAAGTCCAGCGTTAACATTAATTCGATTAAAGTCGGATGTGGAATGATTTCGATTTTTAATTGTTTTTTAATAATGATAAGACAAACTTCCAGGATCCAGGCATATTGAAATGGCTACATCTCTTTGATTTGAAACTAAATGAAATTGTAGATTTCAAACTAAATGAAATTGTAGATTTCATATGTTGATTTGTTTGTGCGATGTCAACCAGTCTTCATTGACATCTGTAAATAAAGTCAGTTTTTAGCAGTGTTTCATAGTAGATCCGCCCCCGATATAATACAGCATACTGCAAACTGATGGGGTCGATATGGGTACTGCGACGGTGCGTAGCTATGCCGATTTATTTATGGGATACTTTGAAGATTCAACTAGTCCTACACTAGATCTTTGTTGGTGACATGTCAGGTAATTTCAGCAGCATCTTCCGATTTCAAAGGTGACCATTTGGAATATTGACGAAAACCTGGTAACATGTTAACTCAATAAAATCCTTCAACTTTAGAATATAATTTACCTGTTGCACCTCTGCTGTTGTACTTTTAAAAAGTTCAATGTATCGTGTACCCATGATATCTCGATGTTTCTTTAAGGCTTTATTAGCTTCCTCTTCCGATGCAAACAATACGAAGGCATCACCCGTAGATCGTCCATCTGGATAGTGGACGAACAGAATACCATCTTCACCATCAAGCACTATACACTGGTTGGGATCTCTTGAAAAGAAGTCCAGCTGAAAAGATTTGTTCCATGACATCAGACCCAATAATTCCAAACACAAGGAAACAGACTACAACCAATAACCACATTAAATGGCAGGGGCAGAGGATTTACACAAGAAGAACATTACAAAAGCAAATTTAAAATGGTCATAATTATGTTTCATTGATTAATTTTCATCTGAGAATACATCGTAAATGCATATAGAACGTTTTTGGTTAGAATTAATGAAACAGTAAGATAATATAATAGATCGACAACGTCCATATTTTTCTCTCAGATTTCTTTCATACAAATTTAATACCCAACACATCTATCGTAACTCGACACAATATAACCGGTTAGACCACCATTTCATGGAAAGCATTTCATCCACCCTTTCAGTTACATTCTTAAGCATAAGTCAAGCATATCTTACAAGTCCACCTTACATGTGCAATTCTAATTTAGTAATCTACTTGTGCGAATTCAGGACTAAAGAGTATTTGGTAATCTGCGAACAGGTTGATAATCGATTTTAGAATTATGTATAGCACCCTTTTCAAGACAGAAAGAACCCCCTCACAATTAAATGCCTGTCGCTGGTTTAAGGAATCATATAAATCTGACTTGCACGCACGCACACCCTCCATTTCCAAGGTCAGTGAAACCCAGGGATATACTGAGGGGTCTAGAAATGCATATTAGGGTGTAAAAAGCAAAAGAAAACCCTGGAATTAACACTGGTTAAATCTAAAAAAGAAAACACCACTCTATCCACATGCCACACCAATCCGAGCCGTATATAAATAGTAGTTTGGATACTCGATTCCCTCTGCCCCAAGCCATGTTAAGTGATCAGCGAAAAATACAAGTAGTATGATAATAATAATAATAATAATAGTAATAATAATAATAGTAATAATAATAATAGACGTGAAGAATATTACGCTAAAACCAGTGATTGGAAGAAAAAGTCAGGCCTATGATATAATAATGATAATAATATGGATATAGTAAAAGTAACTGGAAGTAGCCAGCAACCTTCCCCGCACCGTCCTTTAACCTGCAAATATGATTGGACCATTAAAAACCTGGATGCGACCAACCACAAATAACCACACGCCAAATCGTTGTTATCTCCCTTTGCCCTTTAAGACTTACCTTCAGTCAATGAAATTATCTGATTTCAAATCAGAAAACTTGAAGTGAAGTGTACTGAAAATAATGTGTACATCAGATTTGGGAAATAATTTGTGTACAAAATGGAAGTCTTCCAATAAACAATATTTTAGATGGGTTACTACGGCTATATAAGGCTACGATCACGTCTTATTGTCAAGAAACAATGAATGGCCTTGCATTGGTGCTCAATAAGGAGTTATGAATTAGTCAATGATAAATTTGTGTTAGATAGAGGTTATGAAAAATGAATAATGAATATTGGTACAAATGAAATGTATATTGGTACAAATGGAATGATTATTGGTACGAGGGGAATGAATATGGGTGCACATCGAATGAAAAAAATAGTAAATGATAAGAAAATGGAAAGTTTCCGAGTGCTTCACATTGCATGAACAGTTTGGCGTATTTTCATTAAAAATTGGCTTGTTTTTGTTTTGCATTTAGAATTTAAAAAAATCTATGAATAATAGTTCATGTTAGCTTTAAGTAGTAATGTGTATATAAATAAGTACTAACCACTTGCTGTGTTGTCGCTGTGAACGGTAAACCTCTCATACGTATAATAACTTGTCCACCACGTGATAAAAATGCTTGAGCTTCTGTATTACTACCTAGAAACACAATAATGTACATTAATAATATAAGCCTATATGTTGTTTAAATCCTACATATTGTCTGAATCCATATAGAAATATATGTTATGTAACACTTGTAGAAGTACCGTTTGATAATTCATAATTCGTTCGACAAAAAAAGTACTTTACATGTCGAATTTAAATATTTTATATTACACTACAAGTACCAATGCAACTGAATTGACAATGGAGGCAGATTTACAGATACATGTAGTCGTATTCTAGATACATCTCCCTATGCCTAGATTTAGAACCATACATGCATTGAAGAAACTCAATATATAATTCCACTGAATTGTGCATTATAGCTTCTCAGTATTAGCTATACAGCCAACAGACATATTCACAACACAGCATAGAACTAGGCTTGCAATGTTAAAAGGCTTATAAACTTAAACACTATTAGTAAAACTGTTTTTAGTACAAAAGAAGTTGAATTATATTGCGGTCCACAAGCTTTTCATTTAATCACACATATGATTGTTATTACAAATAAGAAACAGTACTAACCCCCTGCCACATTAATAAAATCTTTTCCTGTTGCTTTATATACTTCTATGTAACGTTGTCCTATGTGATGTTTATGTCTTCTAATGGCTAAATCTCTGTGTTCTTCCGATTCAAATCTGACTAAAGCCTCGCCATTTCGTCTACCCTGTGGACTGAGACAGAGGGCTACTCCTCCTCTAATCAACACAAAAGATAACATACTATAGACATTACTCTTTAAAATGCATCTGCCAGGCCCTCGACGCAATTTGTATTTTCTAAACTGTTTATAAATACTTATAAATCATAACAAACTATTAAGCACAATATCAATATTAGTTAAAATAGTAGGCGATACATTTTTCAACGATTTGAAACGGTTTATTGGACCTACATTTACAAATTTTGATAGAAAAGGGTTGTGTAAAGAAAGAAAATCGACATGTTTAATAACATAACCAAATAACAATAATGGTTAGAAGTTTAATACTTACTTTGAAATATTAAGACCTTTAAAAAATCTAGCTATATCTTGATCTGAAGACTGCCATGGTAACCCACGTGCTCGTACAACTGAATTATCATCAACAAATTCATTTTTACTGCTGTTAAAGAGAAAGGGATTTATTTAGCGATTGATAAATATATTTTAATGTCTACAATAAATTATGGCATTATAAAGAGGTACGGCTGATTAAAAAGAACAAAACAAAAAAAAAACACACCCTCCCCGCTCCTATTAATTACTTTACTAATCATTAAAACATTTAGGCATGCATAGTACTGTGTTCGGTGAAATAAAGCGACAGAACCGATCAAATGATAAAAAATATAGCGTTATAATAGTTTAAAGAAAGACATAAATTTAAGTTTGGTCACAGCAGTCTTTTAATTCATATTTTCTTCCATTGAAAACAATATTCAATAGACGCCATATTGCCGGCTTTATTGTTCTAAACCCACAGAACCACGAAGGATAAAAACTGACTTTGGAAGGCATTAAACATAACCGGAGAAAATATTTGCATGTTCAACATTCTGAACAAACTCATTGGTATACCTTTTCACCAGTGTTGTAAATTTACAGAAGAGGAAGGCCTATTTGAATTAAAGGGAGGCTACTGAGAAAAATATCAAAAATGCCTATATTATAGACGCGCATTTTGTACAACAAGGGAATACATTGTTATAGAAAACCTCAGATAATATATCAGCTTATTATGTACAGACTTTCCATATCTTAAACAATTAAAAAACTCTCGGGAGTCATTGATTAGGTTCCAGAGCAAGGAGGGCTAGTTTCGAGCAAACAAATACATCGAGATCAATCGTTGAAATATTACAATATTTCCTTTATGTGGTTTCCATATCATACTGTTTATTCTTGGCCTATCGTTTTATCACTTGATTTTCCTTAAATAATAATAAAAGAGGTTTACAATAATTTCTCAAACAAACGAAACAGTTTTCTCTGTAAACAACCACAATGATACAAAGAGGAGATAGAGAACTGTGTTATGAATTTCATTCCGTTGCAAGAAGTTCTAAATAACCAATTTCGAACTTACCATATACCAGGTTCCAATCGCTCACTAACAATATCTGATTCACCAAATACATGACCTGCAGAAATAAATTATAGAAAAATCATTATTGGAGTTGGTTAGGCTATGTTATATTTCATTTGTAAAAAAAAACCCAAACGATAAAGGGATGGCAAGGGTTAAGATAACTGAATTGAAACCATCATAATTCATATATACTGCAACATTAATATGTTATATTTAGACAACAAATATTAAATCACACGTATATAGGTTCACGCCGGGGGCATATTTGGTTGCTAAGTGTAGTAAGTCAACTGTATCGAAATAATATATTGTGTTCATGGATGAATAGATATAAAATCTCATCAACAACCTTTAGCTGTTTCTAAAGTCAACAACGCCCTAAATATGATTTACATGAACACACTGGGCGATGTACATATTAATACATAATCAACCTAAACGAATAAAATTGTTTCTGGGCAAACAAATCAACAAAAACACAAATGTATTTCAGGAACAGTAATTGGTGAAATGAAAAAGTAGAGAATGTTTTCCTGATTACTTATACTGATTTACAACGAATATTGCATTCAACTGAAATAATACAGCATGGACAAATCCACATTCTGTACTGTCATCAGATCATAGAATTTTGGTAAGACAAGGATCTCGCACCAAGCCAATGTTATCTATTTCTTTTTCAAACGAATAAGCTGAAATTTACGATATTCGAAAATAAATATATTTCTTGTGTATCGACTCTGTCTATTTGAAATATTAAAAAAAAGAAATCTTCACACTCGTAAAATTTTGTTTAAGGATGATGTCAATATAAACCTAGTTATATATTCTTTTATTGGATATTGTTCTGTAGGAAAATTTCGTTTTGATATAAATGAACTTAATAACTTTAATCTAATACCAATCATCTATGACATTAAATGTAATTTGACTTCGTTACTGACATTTTTATGGTAAAAGCAATGAAAAACCAAATACATAAATTATAATTAGATGTTGGGTTTCAAACCATTAAACCCATACCCAATAACAGAGATATTTAGTTACTTGGCCGTCAATTTAAGCTGAAAAATTTTGATTGACACTTTATTGCAGATAAAAAAAAAGCACGTTTAACACAGGTTGAACATGATCTTTAGCAAAAACACCGTTTATTTTTTTTAAATCGAAAATGTGCAAGTAAATGTAAGTGAGTGCTTAATTAAGATTACTCGATCTAACAATATTGATTGACGTGCTCGAGGCTAGCATGTCAAATACACATATATTTAATGACTCATGCCGATATGACATAGTAGGGTTTTTTTTTGTTTTTTTTTAAAAATCGCTGATGGTGGTATTGCAGAAAATATAGTCCCGGGTCCGTTTCACGAAGCACACGTAAGACTTAAGCACACATAAATGGGGCCTGGGGAAATGGACTCGCGTTACTTTTGTGTTAAAATTTATACACAACACTACTGATTTATCGACAATGACATAAGTCATAACCTTTCTAACAATACTCAATACAGTTATTAATGGGGTGGGGTGGGGTGGAGTCACGCCCAATTTTTGTGTGTATGTTATCCTGATACACAAAATGAATAACATGCTTCATCTGAATGGTTTGTTAATACCTATACGTGTTGGATCTTGATACTAAACTGTTGGATAAGTACTAGGTGGACAATGGGCTCCCTACAGTTAAATTTACCACATTGTCAGCGACTTGCAAACAGACTTAATGCATCATCAAATCACGAATTTGTACCGGATGAGATCACAGCGATATCCCCGCCAGTGATATTTTCTAGAATATTACCCCTATCCACATGGAGTCGATTAAAATTATTGCGATTTCGTATTTTATGCGCTAGCTGGGTTATAGTTAGCTGAATTGGGCTTATCTATTGAAACTAAAATAAACTGCATTAGTAAGAAGTGTTTAATTATTCATGATAATATATATGCTATCTGGTTTTATTTTATTAATATTCAACAAAATTGAACACAGCTGTTTCATACTATTGATTTTAAACGGAATTTCTACATAAATATACTAAGGTGTTGGTCTGTAAAAACGAACTGTATATCAATAACAAACTTCGATATTACTTCAATTCGTTTTGCATTACTTTTAATATACTATTCAAAAAAAGTAGGGGATATTTGATTTTTAAGTGTTATTAAAGTCACCTAATGAAACTGACGAAGAAACAAATGACAAAATGAAATGAAGTTCACATTCATCGATTTATTCCAAATGATCGTTAGACTAAGTAAGGCACAGACTGACCATTATAAGGGTAAAATGATACCCGGGGTCAAACAGCAAAGTTACCACAGCATCACAACCAAGTCAGTAACGGGTAAATCCTCCTCTGTTTGCCAAACAAGCATTGATCCGACGTGGCATACTCCTAATGAGACGTCTATGGTCATTTTGGTCCAGATTGTCCCATTCCTGTTGCAACGCAGCAGCAAGTTCTTGGACATTGGCAGGACGTTGTTGACGTTGACGTAACCTCTGTCCAAGCATGTCCCAGACATGCTCGATGGGGGAGAGGTCGGGACTCAGTGCTGGCCAAGGTATTGTGGTGATGTTCTGTTGTTGGAGGTAACCTGTAACGATCCTGGCCCTGTGACATCTTGCGTTGTCATCCTGGAAGATGAAACGGCGGCCATGACGTCGTGCGAACGGCACAACATGGACTGCCAAGATGTTGTCCCGGTAGTACTGGCCTGTAACACGCCCTGCAACAACATGTAAAGCCGTTCTTCCAGCAACAGTGATGCCTCCCCACAGCATAACAGAACCACCCCCAAATCGATCATGTCTGATGACGTTAACGTCTTGGAAGCGCTCGTTTCGACGACGCCACACCCTCCTACGTCTGTCCAAAAAATCAACAGTGAACCTTGACTCATCTGAAAACATCACATTGCTCCAGCGTCGATTATCCCAGTGTTGACGATCCCTACACCAACGACGTCTTGCCTGAATGTGATGATCTCTCAAACAAGGGATCACGCGAGGCCGTCGGGCGCGAAGGTGACCCCTATGCAGTCGATTCCGAATCGTCTGGCCACTCACTCTCACACCAGTGTCTGTTTGAAGACGAGCGCTGATCTGATTTGCTGTGATGACACGATTTCTCAAGGCCAAGGTACGGATAAATCGATCCTGGGCTTGAGTTGTCGCCCTTGGTCGACCTGAGCGTGGTCTGTCCTGTACAGATTGTGTATCACGGTATCTGGACCATAGCCTGCTTATGACAGACTGAGAAACATTCATCGTCCGCGCCACAACCGCCTGTGTTGTGCCGATCTGTAGCATGCCAAGGGCACGTAACCTTTCATTTTGGGTAAGCCGACGCATATCAAAATTTGTTTTCTGGTCACTAAAACAATTAAACTGATGTTTCCACCCTGGACTTCAATGCCACAATGACTGTAACATTCAAAGTCAGAGTCGTGCAAATCTTGGGTTGGACCCCCATGATGATCCCAAGCATCACCTGCATTCCATGCGGTAACTATTGGTGCGTTTGGGCGTCACATGTAACTGGAAATGTTTCTTCTGTTAGGTTCTATAGTGACTTTTTTCGTAGTCATTTGCATATTTTAGTATTATGCCCCCAAAATCAAATATCCCCTACTTTTTTTGAATAGTATATAAACGTAATCTTCTAATATTATGGTATAATCGATGACAATATAAATAACAATGGGTTAACGACTACAAGATGTATATAGGCTAATTCGTTATGTATTTTGTATATAATTCCTTTATTTGCCTATATAATATGTAGAAACACGGTACTAATCACATGGTACGTATGTACATATAGACCGTTTTCTTTATCTTTATTCAAATCAAGTCAATACCGGTGTAAAGAAAGATTATGTTTCTGTCCTCGAATTAACTTAAATATTCAAAGAAGCAATACATTTCAACTCTTTTTTTTTTTAAAAAAAAGAAAAAAAGAAAAGAAATGCACTGTCTAACGCAACTATTTACCCAATTGGTGAGGGTATTGGTAGATCCTGAGTTTGTCTACAAATTCATCAAAACACGTTGAATGAGTTTACAAATGCAAAATGGAAGAAGAGGAACGTCATGTCACGTACTAATAATTTTTTTGTAGAATAGAACGACGTTGATTATCTACCGTTGCTCAGATTTTTTTTTGTGTTCAAAAACAATAACCCCAGCGTCTTTCAATTTAAAAGTTACCAGTTTACATTTAGTGGTTTAAAAAAACCCAGAATGTTTAAGGATCAATAAGAAAGATTTAATTCCCACGGGTCATAGTGCAAGACAGGGAAGAACCAATGTATCTACTACTACCACTACTGAAGCAACGAATCCAGGCAAATATTATCTTTGACCCTCTTCAAAATATGGTATTATAACTGTAAACAAAAGTCTGAGCTGTCCATCCTTTGTCAGTCATAGATCAGATGAAATTAGCCATACAAGGTAAACGAAACCTTGGCGCAAAACTTACAAACACATTCTTGGAGTAACTCTGAAGCCGGCTTAGGGGACGTTAATAATGCCCATAAACAGCCAAAGGGACAAGAGTAAAAAGTGAAAGCGAGTTATACCGGCTATATTTGTTATTTAATTTTGAAAAACGGAAAGGCCAAGATGGCATGATCACAAGTATTACAAATACATACAATATCAATAAAAACAATGCATTGATTATTGTACGAAAGAACGCCACGAAACGGTCTGACCTGGACAAACATAAAAAAAACCCAACGATTTTAGTACAGAATTTCAACTATTGGTTTGATGAGCAAACATTAGAAAACAAATGCGCAAGTGAAGAAATGTAAATTTCAGCTAAGGATAAATGTCAAATACTCATAGACCAAAGAATATGGTTCTTAGCTGCAACAGTAAAAAAGGTCAAAGGACTATATTTGCAGACGTTAATTGTCGCTCAACAGACATCTTGAATAAAATGGCAAGCGTTTTGGGATCGTAATTTCATTGCACACCTTTCGAGAAAAACATCATTCGATCTTTGAAAACATCCAAGTAGGTCTCCGCCCATTGCAATCTTATTAACACAAACATATCGCTTATCCGTTTGACCATTGATTTGCAAGCAACGCAGGTGGCAAGGTTCAGAATATGTCATTCTCAACTGCCTATGCAATTCGCAAAATGTCGCGAAATTACACAAAGTTTTGTTGAAAGGTTATGTAAAGATCGGTGCAAATATTAAAGTGTTTGACGATATATCGTCTTGAAATTGTGTTTCTATTTAGAAATGTTTTTCTTGTAGTACAATTAAGTATTAATTGGGCTATTTTTAATTGACAGGGCTACATTTTAAAGAGATGTACATAAAGTTAAGGCAGGCAGATTTCATAAGTTTAAAAATATATTCTATGTTATGAAACGTGCTATCATTACGACGTGGGGTGGGGTGGGGTGGGGTGGGGTGGGGCGGGCGGTGGCAAGAGTTAGCCTACTTGTGTACGTCACCAGATGAAAGGCTGGTAAATAAGACTAGAGAATGGTGTTGTTAATAGTCGCATAATAATATATATATTTAAAGTGCATCTAGAAAACCGGTAGACTGCACACTAAACAAATAATGACAAATAAGACCTCAGGCGAACAAGGCCCTGCTGTGTTGGTCTCAACCAAATATTTGACCACAGATCTCACGAATTGTCGCTCGGTGACAAAACCGTTGGCAAATAAGGTGAACATTTGCCAGTAGCAGCTCTTTCAAGTTGGTACATACCAGCATATCACCGTATAACCTAAAAAACTTGACAGTTTAGAAGAGATATTTGGAGTTTTATAGGGGTCAATAGGTCACCATATTTACGTCACTATATAGCCCACATCCTTGAATAATTACATGGTTAACAATAATTATAGATACCTCATTAAGGTTTGAAAATATAATTCTTATAAATATATCACAACCTATGTCAACACCTTTATATACGTGTATCAAAAAGTGCATGGACGGAGAAATAATGTCAATTGGGGACTGCAATACGCTTAAGAATAAATAGAGGATAGTGAAAATTTAAATTAGGCGGCTAGGAAATTAAAACTTACCATCATTGATTAAGCGATGAACTATACTGGCCATTTCTTGACACTGTCGTACACCATATTCAACTGACTGGTCCCCTTCTAAACCTAGATCTAATCACATGTTAAGGGTGTAAACCATTTTAGTATATAGAAATATGAATCATTCTGTGAGAAATTATATACCTTTATTGTTGCAGATAAGTATAAGCTTAGATTTTAATATGAATGGGTCTTATTTCTTTTCAAACTTATATGTAAAGATATCAGTTAAATGGTTGAATAAAACGCCTAATTCAACACCTAAAAACATGGATTATATTTAAGTATTCTACATGTACATAATACCTAATAAGAGAACGAGACAGAATTGGGTTTAATGTCCACTCGATACAAACTAGATTATTTTGGGACAAACATAATGGTATGTTTTATTTCTATACAAAATAATGAATTTAAAATCTAACCCGTTTAAATAACTGTATTGTCGTTAATACGATTGAAAATCACACGAATTCAGTAAATTGGTTAATAGAACTACATTGTATGTTCACTTTCAGTTTTAAAGGAGCTAAACCTCTTTGGGTTGGCTTAAAACCAGGTATTCAAATGTGTTACTTCGATAAGTGATGGGGAGAGCTCTGTAGGATTACAATTCTGTTTTGGAAATGGGATGGTTTACCAAGTTTAGTTTTATTTTAGATAACAATATCGGTTATATCCCAACACTGACTTTATCTATATAGACGTAGACAGATTGACATCTCACTATAAACAAATTAACATTTATACAGTCCAATGAAATCGACAACACTTTTCCTGACCCAAATCAAAGAGGTTTGATTTTTTTACGCAAGACAATTGAAGATGTCTGTGGAGCTTGTTATAATTGATAAAAGTAATCGGAAACGGTGATTTAGTAAATAAACTGTTCGATAGATACACCCGGGTTTATTGTTAGTTACAGGACTCAGAAAGTTAATATTGACTCAACTCTACACCGCTTTACAATTTCACAACAAAATGAGCAATCTTGGATCTTAAATAGACCAGTCTTTAATAGAGTTAACCTAACGTTTTTATAGCCTATGTAAAGAACAAGTAAAGAACAGGATTCCTGCATAGTAAATGCCCGAGAAACGATACCCAGATATTCATAAGACATAACCTGTATCATTACAGACATCCATTTATGTATTATGATACCTGAACAAACCAGACGACCTCGGTTCCTCCCTTACATTGTAACTACTAAATAAAGGGAGAGCTTTACCATTCACGTTTATCTGAATTGACATGTCCCTCTATAAAGCATTGCTTTATTTATATACACACATCTACTTTAAACGACCCTTCTGAATACTATGTAGATTATACATAGTACTCAACTACTGAAGGGGCTGTACCTATTTAAAGATCTTTTGATCTATTTACATCAGGTGTGTCGTTTTAAATTAACGCCGAATATTGAGAAAGCGGTGACGAGTCCGACATTAAAAACTTATGTATTAATTAAGTACATTTGAGTTAAAGATACATTATGGGAGATTACATAAAGAGCTGGCAGTTCTCACTATAATAGTTAAACATAGGTTGCCAGGCAACGAAACATACGCCCACAGCAGCTAAATCGTCCGGACAGTCAACAAGAGTTGTCGCATATTTTTACTTTTTTCGGTAATGAATCATTTATAATACACCAAAATCCGATTAAGAGTAACAACTCATGAAGTAATTATCAGAAAACCATTAGAATTTGTTTGGTTTTTATAAAGTTCTGCCTCGTGCTAACGTCTATACGCAACTTTTAATATGGATTTAGCTGTTCAAGTCATAAAAATTCATTGAAAATCAATATACTTGTTCTAGAGCGTCACAAGATTTTTTTAAAGTGATCAAGGGCCATAACTTTGGCAATAATTATCGGAAATCGTTGAAAATCAATAGGATTCTTCGTCTCATGGCCTTAAACACTGTGTATATTTTTAAAAGTCAATCGGATATTAACTTTAGCCTCTAGAGCGTCCACAAGATTTTTTGAGACGACGACAATATTCCACATTGAAATGTGGTCGTATAAAAACTAAATAATGTAAAGGCAATTTGCTGAAAATTTCAGTCACATTTAACCACACTGAACCGGGAATTTAGCGATTGAAATTTCGGCCTAGCCTCGATCATCATTACGATACGATTAAAAAACCCAACATAGTCTCGATTATCCATTCTATGATTAAATCATGAATGAAAGTTGAGTAGCAAATCGGATCCTAATCCAGTAAATATGACAGGCTAGCGATGACATCGAGGGTTGATTATGGTCTGGATAAGTTAATTAATGTCTAAATAATGACCTAGAATAGGCAGATTTAGCTCTTGCATAATGTATGTTTAAACAAAAATTAACGGTAGACTACGTTTTAGAACAAGAAATGTTAACATCGAGTTACTTATGTGTTAATTAATTACAATTAAGTAAAACAAAAATTAACGGTAGACTATGTTTCAGAAAGAGAGATATTCCCCACTGAGTCAACAATGTTTCAGAAATAAATATGACTATCAATAGGCAATGAGAAATTTATGCATACTTATAATAGTACGATGTAAAAATGTAAAAATAAAAAAAAACAAACAACAAACGGCTTCGGTCTTTATCTATTCTGCAGGCATTGTTAGTTATTAACAAAACCACAATCGATAACATTCACATCAGCCTACTCATAATGGAATATTTCATTAAGAGTATATAGATTCAAATTAATAAGAAATGGGTATAATGTTCATTTTGATGACAATAAAATCTATCATTTGAAACAGGTGTTTTTCTTAATATCGTTACCGTTATTTTAGAATTCTATTTCATATTCCCTTTGAAGATATTCTGTTATATGAATATAAGAGGGGCAATTTATACTTTAGAATAATATAATGAGTAAATGTTCGATATCAGATATTGCAGGTGCAGTTCATCCATATAATTCACCCAGGTGTGATTTACATTGAAGGGATAAAAAAACAAATACGATGAGATCTTCGGATTAAGCATAGCATCAGAATAACTGCCGAGCAATATACAGGAAATCCAAAAGGGCAAAGTGAGTGGCAAAGCCTTTCACAGTGACATAAAAAAAACATCGTGAAGTAGCAAAGAAACCCGAATTTAGTGATGAATTCGAAACAGATCGAAACGCTCCCCTCTCTTCCTCTCTCATAAAACCGAAGTAAACAGTGCTATCAGCATACTCTGCCTCTTGCAAGACGCCTGTCACATAGCGTGATATAAAGCCTATGAAAGCGACACGGCTCTACTGAAATTAAGTAGTAAAGACCAAACAAAGTCAGGGGCCAGAAGTTCTTCTTCTTCTATTAGTGTTTAACGTCCGCTTCACCGATGGTTGTCTTTTTTTATTATTCTTAGAGTGCGCATGGGTCTTTCCTGTGATGCATGTACGCTCACATCGTGGATCGAAACCACGACCGCAAGCCAAGATTGCGTGACTTGCGCAGATTTATCGGAACAAAAAATTCAAGGAAGACAGAATTAGAACATTACTGCAGTTAGGGAGTTACCTTTCTTGAGTGCGTACCCACAAACATTAGCTAATGACACATCCTTGTTTGACTAAAACGACAAGATTTAGGTAAAGTTTGTCTCCCAAACACCCCAGAATTTTTAATTACACCATCCGTCAAACATCAAATAAAAGAACCATTGAAAACATCTATTCTGTCGATGTTAAGTCTGTGGAAAATGGCGTAAAGTATGGCCACATAAGCTTATTGTAGGCGTCTAAAATCAAAATAAGAAAAGGCAGCTAAACCAAAAGGTTTAAACTCACAGACTAGTGACACCAGTTTTACTTGGAAAGGTCGCAAAAAGTATTTTTTTATTATCTAAAAGACAGATTACCGAAGTATGGGTAGCCCCCACATTCAAGATGGGGATGCTCTACTCACAACCGAAACACAACAATTCAATAGTTTAAACATATTTTCGAATTTTAGTATATCATGGTTTCAAAAGGGGAAAAGACGCTTAAAGACATTTGTGCGATTTAAGTTTATATATGATTTTATATGTAATTAGCCCCTAGCACAGAAAATGGTGATGGCAGTACCGGTCTGGGCTATAACTTATCATCAACCTATCAATCATTTACTAATCACTTTACCTGATGCGTGTTTATCTAAAAATACTAATCAAAATGGGTGTGAGACCAATCAAAATACAACAAAAATGTGTTAGACATAAAATTTATGTTTTTTTTAATGTCACATGGAGAAATTACAGAGTTGATTTGACCAAGAAAAAAAACTGAGCTAAACTTTATATTTTATTATAAATGGCAACTCTTTTGTCTTTCTTGTGCAACCAAGTCTTGTCCAAGAATTTCCCGATAACGACATTTAGAACCCCCAAAATAAAACATTGCTCAGCGAAAAGTTTTCATACTAGAAAAGTTGTTTGTAAAATTTCGAGCCCATAAATCGAGTTTCTGGATGGGTTCATATCGTGAATAAATTTGCATCAGACAAATACGTATTATATAAATGAGTCCATGTGTACAACCAAGAAATATTATATATACGTTGTGTATATATGTGTCACTTCCATTGATATAATCTCAATTAATAATACAATAAATCACTAACTAAATAATTCACGTACTTGTCTCAGCTTTTGATCGTGCCGAAAGTCGAAATCCCGGCATTAAGATTTTGGCATGAGTACTATCTTTGATGTACGTGTAGTAATGTTAGGTACAGAACATAAACGAAAGGCCATTTGCCTCCCCCGAAAACAGTTAACCTATGTCCGATTTGAACATCACAAGTGCAATAAATATAATGCTTTAACGGAATTGTAAATTCAAACAATATTTTAATAGATGTAGTTTAAAGTAGATAAAGCACAAGTACTTGTATGTATATGGTAGATGAATACATAAAAAAATAAAAATACGTTCAGTTAAATAATCAACCACTTTCATTTGTTCATTCTGATATACATCACATCATACTTCAGATGTTATAGTGTGTGGGTGTGTGTGTGGGTGTGTGTGTGTGTGTGTGATGGGATTACATAAAAGGTTCATATATGTAGACACCGA